TATACCTACCTTCTCCACGCTCGTCTCGCATTACACCGCCACAACCTGGCTCCAGCCTGCCCGTCCGATGTACGTCTTGCTGCCATGGAGCAGTGCACTCATATTGCTCTTGAAACAGCGTCCCTTCTCTCGCGTGCAACCCCTACCCTTGCCGACGGCGCTACGGCCCTCCTCACTACCCACACCTTCCGTTGTGCTCTCTTCCTCCTTCTGGCGGGATACTGGGAGCATGCAACGACGTGCCTGCGCGCTCTAGCGACCGTAGACTCGAAACGCGATGTTGCTATCCCCTGTGGACGATTCCTCGCCTTCTTCGTGTCTACACTAGGCACAAAGCGCACCGAGTATGCGGCATTTGTTGCCCGCACGACACCTCCGAAACCATTTGCCCCGCCTCCTCCTCCCCAAGGTCGTTCTGGACCTACCCCGCTACAGGAGGCTCTGATGCAGGACGAGGAGCTCCTAGCATATGTCAGCGCCGATTTGCAAGCGGCGCCAGACTCGGCCTGGGTCTGGGCCGGCGGCGAGCGCGAGGCCATCCTCTCTCCGACTTCCCCCGGATCGATCACAGCTTCTGGTGGCGCCAGCAGTGGTCTATTCAGCGCCGAGCAGAGAACTGGGCTGAGCGAGGACGAAGTTAAGGAATGGGGAGGATGGGAGCGTCTTGAGGCGGCCTTGCGGGGGCTGGCCTCGGGCAACACGACGCCCACGCCGACATCCGCGACTTGGACGTCTGCTCTACCCGCCGGGATCAAGACCGAAGGCACGCCGACGCTACCGAGCATAATGCCAGGCCCTGGCGAGGGCAGTAGCACCAACAGCCCAACAACAAGCACCAAGGGCCGGCCCCAGGACAGGTTGAGCATCGCAAACATCATCTAGAGAGTTTGAATTTGTAATCGAACCTTGAGCTCTCTTCTTGAAGCGGCTCGATCTAGCACAGCACGGGGCAGGCCCGGTGGATTGGGGCTTCTCTCAATAGGAGTTCCCAAGAGCTGCGTAGCAACACTTTTTGGATGTTTTATTACATCAGAACAAACACCAGGCAACAAATCATGATTGTTCATGAACGTCACGGAAATGAAGCCATGTAAACCACGTTAGGCCTCTACAATTGGGTCTTTGTCATGATGGTCCCATGACAGTAAGCCGGATTCGAAGAAGGAACTTCGATGTACGATAATGTGTTGACACGAGGGGCTTACAATGCCTTCCTAACTCAACTTCTGTCTCCCTCGTCAACTTTTTTCTCTTACAAAAATTACTTTGCTCCAATCATTCCTTTTTTTTTTCCTTCCATCATTTGGACCTCACCAAACTCTGAGTGGGCGTAGCCAAACTGGCCCCCCTCAAACCATTCGTTAACACCTTAATGTCTGCACCATCTAAACAGCAAGGAGTGAGAAGGGCGGAAGCTTATTCTCGGTTGCTGTTTCTTTTCTCTTTGTTCACGGCCCGGTTCGCTGGATGACCGAGCCTGGGTAAAAAAAAAAGGAGTTGCAAACACTTCAAACAGAAAAAAGGGCGATGGCATAGGGATGATTTTCTTAATGGGCGCGGCACAGAGAGGAGGCGCAGGGGATGAGGAAGAGGCCGGGCCTTTTTTTTCCTCTAGTGCAATACCCAGCAGAGAGGATGAAATGGGGCTGGATTCGGTCTGGAATTGGGTTTCGTTTTTGTTGACATTGTCTATACGACATAACTCTGCTTTTCTATCATCTTTCACCATTTTTTTGTTTGTTGCTGAATCACAGGCCTGCGAAAGGGGTGTTGTGTTGTACGGAGAATTCGAAAAAAGACAAGGGGCAATCAATTGCACCCGAACCCTTTTTTTGCACATAGGATCTTATTTTATGTACAAACGAAGCAAGAATTGAGCCTGGGGACTCGCCGAGGCATGGTACTCGCGAGATCTTTTACTACAGGTCATGATGAACAACTTCCTTTTCCCCCGGAGTCATTATTGGATTGTGAGGAAGGATTCGATAACTGGGCAAAGCTGGATAGCTTCATGTTCGAAGATATGTGGAGTGGGGCCGAGCAACTATGGACATCGCGAGGGGTTGCTATAGCAGGTTCTAGCGACTTTACGGGTTTACGGCTAACACACACTTTTGCATTCTTGCCACCTTGGTGGTACCGTTGGCAAGATGCTGCGAAAAGCTTCAAAGCGGTCCCAGTTCTGGATCACCGGGGGACCATCCGTCGAAGAACACCAAAATGTCAGAATCGCAACATCACCACCAAGGCAGGCTTGGCTCGCAACATCACCAACAAGCTCTCTCGGGGGCGATTCCGTGCAACGCCTGGGCACATCCGGCTCGGCGACCCTCTGCCGGCTTGTCATTCTCTTCCCCTCCTCCCCTCCGGCAGCGCCATCGACAACTCAAATCATTGTCTGCGCCACGTCACTGCGGAAACGAGGTTATTCCATAGTCGTTGGTTCGCCAATCACTTCGCCCTGGTCTTCCGCGGGAAAGGGGAGGCGCAGGGCCTTGGTTGGGAGGCTCATTAGGGCAGCGCCACGACACTTCTGACAAGAGGCTGGTGACACGTGTATCGTTACACTAGGGACTAAAGTCACATTTTACGGATCGTAGAGATGGTACGACGTTGTTGGTTACACTGGGTCTTGAGCTCTGAATCGTAGTTGCTGCGCCTCTCATGTGTCTGCGTCTCGAAGACTGGAGACTTGGATGGACGGAAGTTTTGATACAGACTCGTTTGCACTACTTCAATGGTTCTTCAGCGCTTTTGTGCAGCTGTCTCGTCTTCCGCACCGACCCCACGGTGGAAAGCTTCATCGCGTGTTTCTCGTTGGTTGAAACCGCTTGTTTAGTCGCTGTTCAGATAGTGACACTGCTGCGACGGCGACGTGGGGTTGGGCGAGTTTGACAACGGTGACAGGTCTATCCTGTAGCACGATCTAGCTTCTGACTGCCCACCCGTCGTTCCATGAGATGGAACTGGGAAGCGGGAGGCTACTGGTGAGTTGATTAGGGAACTGAGACCAGAGAGCCGGGGAGTCCACCCGGGGGAAGAGAAAGAGGACTCGGGGAGGGTGGTGTTACCCGCTAGGATGGAGGCTCAGTGATGCTACGTGACCATTGTGCCACTCTAGGACACAACGAGGACCCGCGATTGAAGGTAGTAAGCATCACCCTACTTTACATCAGTGGTCCTCACCTGCGATGTATGATGGTGTGCCCTGACTAGTGAGCCAAGTCTCACGGTCGTTGCGGGAACCGGAGGCAGATGCGTGTCATACATGACACAAGGATGGCATGGGGAAACCTTCTTTTTTTCCTTCTCTTTGGGGTCCAAAACCAAGTTTTGCTGGGAGCAAGTGGGTGTGAATAGATCATGCCTCTCTACCTTGCCATCACATTCACATAGCGCGCGAACTTGATGCCAGCAACAGGGCTGAGAACTTGGGTTTTGCCTGCAATCCACATAGCCTCAAGTTGTGTCGGCTCAACCTGCCGCTACCACATATCTCGAACAACGTCTCTTCCAACGTGAAAAGTATCGAGATGGGGAGCCCGCTTTTCTTTTAAGACGGATTTCCCTGGTGCCCATGTGCCCTTTACACTGACCAAACTTCAAGGTCTTCCGGCTCGGCTCTTATCATCCGCCCGTCTTTGGCGGAGACTGGCCGATTATTAAACGAGAACGAACCTCACGGTCCCTTCTTGGCCGCCCCCCTCCACCTCCCCAATTCTACTCAGATCCCCCACCCACTCCCACCTCTTGCTCAAGGTAGAGGTCGCACTAGGGAAGCCTGAATGGAGGGAGACCCGCTAGTTTAAACTTGGTGATCCCCGGGAGCTCGGGCCGGCGATGATCGAGGGATGGAGGGGACGGGGTTGATGCTAGGGGATTTGCGTTCTGGGATGTCATCGACAGGTATCCTAGCTATTCTAGCGTGCCTTGGTCAGATTCAGTGATCTTCTCGCTTAGTCTGTGGCCTGGAACCTTGATCGTCGATAGCTACGCTCTGACCTTTGGGAGTTTAGTGATAATTGTTGTTTTACCAGGTCGCTTAGGTCGTTTGTGTTGTCGGGTACTAATGTGTGTGTGGGGGAACGAATGGAGGCTAGACAGGGGGGCACTATGGGGTTTCTTTTCCAAAACTCTTGTGAGATTGTTGCGAATGTATTTGCCCGCGGATTAGTTTTGCTCGTGGCGGAGCGTGTGAGAGATGGTGACGGTTACAGTCAGCCTGCCTCGGTATGTTGGTGTTAGATCAAGATTTGTCTTTTTTTGTCATCTTGGCTTGAATAGCGTCCCTTGCATTGAGATACGTTATGAGACGTCAAAGACGACGCTCGTAAGAGTTCGACTGTATGCTCGTGTCAGTGGTGATTCTTGGACCTTGTTTGTTTCTAGGTGGGGTTTTATGCGTGTTAGTTAGTGCACACCGAAGGCGATGTCAATCAACTCAGCGATGGAATTAAGGTACTTCTGAATTACACCTTCACCGGGCTAAAAGTGAGGGCTTATGAATTTGCCTACGTGCTTGGACATTACCTCAATGTGAAGCAGAACTTATTGTCTACCGGCTCCAAAAACACAAGACGTGAAAAAATAATAGACCCGACGAGTGGCTTGGCCAATCGCGGTGAGGATTTGAGCCTCACGCGGGGGTCGAACCCGCAACCTTGAGATTAAGAGTCTCACGCTCTACCGATTGAGCTAGCAAGGCGGGTCTTAGTTGTTGAGTGCAGCGATGAGACAGAGACTTGAGATCTTTCGCTACGGCGATTATCCGAGTCGCCACAGTCGCCTATCCGCGCCGCGGGATCCAACTTCTTCTTCCCCGCCGTCCCAGCTCCGCCGCGTTGGGCGGTTTGCGGCTGGCGCTTAGGCTGCTTTCGAGGCGGATGGTTTGCGTTTTCTCGGTCGCGATCTTTGGTCTTTTTTTTTTTTTTTGGAGGGAGGGGGGGGGGGGGGGCAAAGGCAATCTCCGTTGGGTGGCGAGGAAAGGCGGCAATGAATGTGGGTTGAATCCCAGAAGCTGGACACATCTTTCGAGGTTCTAGAAACAAAAATGCTAGAGCTGGGTTCAGAGCTGCACTTCAACGTAGGTAGCGTACGCACTCTATGATTTCTGCATAAGCTATTAATGAACAGGGCCTGTTTAATTAACCTCCCTCATAGCTTTGATAACATCATCACATTAACAAGTTCTTTCGTGTGTCATCTGTGGATTATCATCTACGGCCTACTCCTTGACATCCGTCAATAAACTTGGAGAACAACCATGATCGCACGCGCACCTTTCCCACGTCTGTAGTCTTCCAACTGATCACTCAAGAGTTTGACTTTTCCTGACTTGTCAAGTGAGGCAATCTTCTCCTTATAACCATTCTTCTCCCAAACAGCCTCGTACACAGTTGCGACAATAAACCCGCCAGGGCGGACAATTCTCACAAACTCGTCAAAGGCTTCGGGTCCTACGTGACCCTCGGTCATCGTACCGACGCATACGACGGCATCGTAATAGTTTGAGGCCTGAGACAAAGGCTTGGAGAGGTCTGTCGTACTCAAAGACTGGTACACACCAGATCTCTCAGCGACTTTGAGCATCCCTTGACTGAGGTCTATGCCATCTATCTGCGTGGCTCCAAGCTTCGCGAGGTTGGCTCCGACAAGGCCTGTTCCACATCCAGCGTCCAGAACTCTCGACTTGGCAATGGCAGATAAACCGACATACTTGACCACGTACTGGCTGGCAATGACTGGCGCGACGTAGTTTTGGTCTGCGCCCAGGAGGTCGCGATCATAGTTTTCGGCCCAGTCGTCGTAGAGGATTTGTGCCTCGGCGGTGCTGGTCACATTCAAAGCGCGTTCAATCGACATATTGGCGGACGATAATCGGCGATGACCTCTGTCCTAGGTAGATAGTCAAAAGTGGTGGCTTGGTAATGTCATCAAGCAAAGGAAAAAGCGTGTGATGTTGGTGAAAAGCATCGTCCTACATCGTCGCGGGTGTCAAATGTCGGACTATTATCAAGCAACATCGCGACACCAAGCGAGAATGACGTTTAGTAGCGCATTCAACACCTCGTAAGATATGTTACTACGTGCTGATTGGCGCTGCTTTCCATCTGAGCACGTGTTGAAAGCAGATCGACAATTTCCTACCCAGTAAGGATTACTCCAAGATCCTTTACTAATCCTATACTCAACTTAGCACGCATTCAATCTGGGGGACTGATCTAGCGCCACCATGTGGCTGGCTCCAGCTGACTTGTTCTTCCTGCACTGGCTCTTCGGACTTTCGGAGTATGCGGGGTTGGTGTGTTCGTGGCTTACCTTAGACACCGCCAAAGGACTTTCGCACTTTGCGACCAAGATGACGGCCCAGGGGGGTTTGGGAATTTGTTTTCCTTGACTTGCAAGAATTGGAAATCAGTCACACGTGTTTCTCTTCAAATGTAAACGTGGCGTAAAGATCGTATCCATAAATACCATAGCCATACTTCCAACCGGATACCGCTTACTATTGATGCAAGCTACTCGTTCTCCCTATTCACAAGACGTTACGGTTTGCTATCTACCACAACCACCTCTTCTCCACTCCAAGATACCCACCATCCCTTGATCATACTTCCGTTTGAGATCTCATCACTTCAGTCACAACCATGCCTGTCTACCCAAGAAACCAAAGGCCCCTCCACGCGGCTCTCGCTGCGGACAGACAGCGTGCTCTCGAAAAGGCAACCTCAAAGGTCGCAATGTCTGAAAAGATGGAGTACGCCTCTAGAGATCGCAAAAACTCGAAGGCACAAGACAAAATGGAGGTGGTCGGCACGAGAAATGCTAGAAGGTGGCTCGGCAGCCTCCACATAACTTCGAAGACCTCCCACGGAACATCAAAGCCTCGCATGTCGGAATACCAAAGCCTATAAAGCGCAAGCTTCCTTCACGAACGTACATCGACCGACAGAAACCATGATGCCTCACATCCGGAATTACTACCTTCAAGCATGCCCGATGATGCATCGCCAGACATAAATCGAAGACTCGAGGTTGCGAAGCTGCGATCGCGATTCGCGAATGGTCAACAGACGACCAGTCCACGATCACGCCACGCCTGGCCTGTACACAAAACCTCTGCAATACACGAAGGCATCATTGCCAGCTTCACAAAACTGCAGCCGGCAGTGATCACACAGGGAAGAAAGAAGAAAGGCACGTGGATGATCGCGAGGGCATGCTGCATGGTCTTGAGTTGTGCTATGAAGTTACGAGCATTGGTCATCGAGGAGGCATGTTTTGTTTTTTTGCCACAAAAGGGACAATAGCTACCGGGTATGTGGGGCTATGGGTGATGTCTTCGGCTATTGTACTGCTATTCAGGAGTTTAGGGGAAAGAGGCTGAGGAGTAATAGGCTTTGGTGAAGGAATTGCCGTAGCGGATTCATTATTTATACCCTGTTTCGAACGTTACTAAAACAGGATTGTGCCCCGGAAACAGACAAACTGTGAATGTCTAAAACGCCTCATCTGGAACCTAAAATGTTTGTCATATGCCCTTGCTTGGAGCTCTTGATCAACGTTGTAGAATGCACCCATGCCGAGGTCTACTGTCATTTGTTCGTGGCCCGACGTGGAGTATCATAGAAGACCCCGATAGGATCTTGTAATGAATCAACACTGCTGAGGAACCATTCTCTGGTGAGATGCTGTTTACATGTGAGTATTGAGACTCAGTATTGGCCCAAGACAATGGAAAGCCAGCTAGTCACTGGAACAATCAAGCCTCATAACTCTTGAAAGTTTCTGCTTCAAAAGCTGCTGTCGCATATCAAGTCCTCTGCGAGCATCTCAATCAGTACTCTGCGCCAACTAGAGAGTGGGTTGTAATTCTTACCTCCTCGCAACAGCCAATTCTCGGTCCAGAACTCCATCAGGCGCGAAGTGTTCATAGAAGCCCCTAATACTGCTGCCAATGCCTTCACGTCCTAGCAGTCTGCCGATGCTCTCTAACCCATACTTCCTCATGTGCACTCGACTCTCGGGTTGAAAGTCTTCTTCGTAACGCTCCCATGTCTCTTCGCGCGGCCGCCAGTGAACTGTTGCAAAACTTCCAAAGGAGCTTTGCGTCATTTCATCTTCAAACTGGATCCTAGTGTCATCACATTCGAAAGAGTCCTCCCATGTATCCTCCAGCCGGTCGATGATGATGATTCCACGGGAATACCACTCATCTTCGAAGTCTTCAGACAGGAACCAGAACTTCGCATCGTCAATGTTGTCCAGTACGGCACGGTTCCGAATCTCGTGTCCGTGGTGAATAATGCAAGCTTTTGCCCGCTCTTGACTGCTTAGATGAGACGGAAGAGGGAAGCAAGCCACTTCTATCCTGTCCCGCCCCCATTCGCGGTTGTGACGCCTGGTGCGATGTGAGAGAGCGTGCACCATCTTAGCGGCCCGCGTTGGGGTCGCTGATGGGGTCGTATCATAGACCGCCATACCAAATGGGGCTTGTCGTTGGTACGAAAAGTCCCAATCACCTGGCTCAGGTGCGACTTTCGGTTTCAAGTACGCGGCGAAAATCGGAGCGTCATCATGGCTCGGCGCAGGTGTTACCACTGTCTGGAGCGGATTTAAGTTCTTACGCCTGAATGGTACGACCGGCACTTCCTGAAGCTCATGGCCATCATCCTCTCCGTCTTCGTCGTCCAAGGGTACATGTGGGAATGGGTCGTAGTTGAGTCGATCGCAGACGCGACACATTTTTGTAAGATGTTGTCATTCGGCTTAATCAGGAAACAAAAGGATGAGCGAGCTGTTTTAAGGTGATGGGTGGTAAGTTCACAGCAATGAATAATGTGACTTTATCCTAGACTCAATGAGCACATGTAGCTGTGATTATTGTTGGGTTACTGGGTCCTTTGAGGAACGAGTAGGATTGACGCTGTTATGAAGTGGGGGCCGGTGCCTAGAACTAGCGAAACATGTCCGGCTAATAGCTGATCGAGGATTACTCACAGTCTACAGCAATTACTACAAATTGCTATAGCTGAGCACAGTCTCTTGATTGAGCAAGTGGTTGATATGCTGTTGTGCTACCTACCCTTAAGGCACCTAAAATCAAATGGTTATGTGTTGGTCACTCCGAGACACCGAGTAGAAAATCACTCTGGACTTGAAATATTGTAAAGATTCGCGATGACCAAGTGGGGTTGCGAGATTGACACGCTGCGATTGATAAGAAAGAACTAAAACCAGCAAAGAGCCATCGTCATGCTAGGTCTTGAAGTGGATTGGAACATAGTTTTGTTGTAAACTTGTAATCTGCCCCATAAGTCTGTACTTGGGATGATGAAATTGGATACTCAGCTAAACCAGTGATTCAACTATTGCTTGATTGGCTAGTTGGCAACGATTGCAGGCTCGATCACTCTATGCTATTTCCTGTAACTGAAGCGATGTCGGAGTTGTGCCGACAGTATTCGTGCGAAGACTTGCAGCTTGTGTGATCGAGGAATGATGGCGTACCGAGGGCCTTGAAATGACGTGCGGCTTGCCTTATCATCCAGACGCGGGTCAGCAGCAGCGGCGTCTTAAATCAACATAAATTTCGCCATCTTTTGGTTCGAAAGCGACGAATTGATCATCAAATTATTCAGAGCAGTACTCAAGCGTATTTTCATCCTTGGCACGTTCTTCAAGCCACCTCTGTCATTGAACTCGCTCGAGAAACTCATATCAAATACATCGTATATATATCAGGACCATGTCGACACCTTCGCCGCAAGATCCCATCTCTCGAGTTGACCCCAACAAGCTTGACGCTGTTCGTAGAAAGTATGCAGAAGAAGCCGAGAAGAGACTTAGGCCAGAAGGCTCCGCACAGTTTCAACCCCTCAACGAAGCATCAGAGGATCGACTTCACTCACTTCTCGAAGATCCATGGGCAGATCACGCAGTATTGAATACTAAGCCATCGCCATTTCGCAACACCAGGCACACTCGTTTCTTTATCTTGGGAGCTGGATTTGGAGGGCTTCTATACGCGGTAAACCTCATCAAATCCGGCGTCGCAACCGCAGACGAGATCTCAATCGTCGATGCCGCTGGCGGCTTTGGCGGGACTTGGTACTGGCACCGGTATCCTGGGCTGCACTGCGACCTCGAGAGTTACTGCTACCTGCCTCTGCTTGAGGAGACTGGATACATTCCAACCAAAAAATACGCCCCTGCCTCAGAAATCAGACAGTATGCGGAGCTCATTGCGTTGCGATGGAAGCTTGACGACAAGGCTCTGTTTCGCTCTGATGTGCAGAGCTTGCAGTGGGATGATGACAGGGAGCTCTGGAATATTAGTCTCTCTGAGAGACGTGGTCCGGGAGAACCTGCAATTCAACAAAAAGTCAAGGCGCAGTATGTTTACCTAGCTGCGGGCGTTCTTACAAAGCCACAAGTCCCCAAGATTCCCGGTCTGCTTTCCTACAAAGGGGACATATTCCACACTTCTAGGTGGAACTACGATGTCACCGGTGGATCTCAAGAGGATCAAACACTCACGGGCTTGAGAGACAAAAGAGTCGCAATAGTCGGCACGGCTGCGACTGCCATAGGAGCAATTCCTACGCTGGCCAAGTTCGCCAAGGAATTGTACGTGGTCCAGCGAACACCGGCCTACGTCAAGGAGCGCGGTCAACAAGAAACTGACTCCGAAACGTTTAAAGCTACTGTCGCGAGCAAGAAAGGATGGCAGTTTGAGAGGCAGATCAACTTGAACCGACACATGACCAACGCCGTGCTGCCAGGTCAACCTAATCTGGTGAAAGATGGCTGGACTGACATGCCTGCTTACTCCGCCGTCATGGGATCACCCGCTCACGGCATCGTCAACCCTTCCCCAGAAGAGCAAGACCGAAGAGCGACCTGGTTTCACGCCTTGGACTTGCCGCATATGGAAGGCGTGCGCGCTCGTGTCAGCAGCATCGTCAAGGATGAAGATACCGCTGAGAAATTGAAGCCCTGGTACCCCTCTTGGTGCAAACGTCCAACATTCAGCGATGAGTATCTAGAAACTTTCAATGAGCCACACGTACACCTCCTCGACACGAACGGCAAGGGCCCATCTAACGCCACAGAGAAGGGCATCGTCGTCGCCGGCCAGGAGTATCCCGTCGATGTCATCATCTTCAGCACAGGGTATTCCGTTACCGGTGGTCGTACGGGAGGCAGCCCAGCGGAACGAGTCGGTATCGAGGTTCTCGGCCGCAATGGTCTCTCGATGGATGACAAGTGGCGACGCAACGGCGCTGCCACGCTACACGGATATCTCACAAACAAGTTTCCCAACCTCTTTTTCTCCGGTACGTCTCAAGGCACCATCACGGGGAACAATGTGTTCATGCTGGGCCTCATTGCTCGACATGTCACGTACATCATTTCCGAGGCCGAGAGACGAGTGGGACCTGGTCAAAGGGCCATCATCGAGGTGACGCGAGAGGCAGAGGAGCAGCATAGTCAAGAGGTTGCGAAGAGGGCCCCGTTCTTTTCGTCGCTTGCGGGATGTACTCCGGGATATTTTAACGGACACGGACAAGCGGCCTCAGAAGACCCGAAGGAGAGGGCAAAGCAGGCACGCGGAGTCGTGTGGGCTGAGGGAACAGTGTCGTTCTTGGAGTACATCGGGAGGTGGAGGAACGAGGGCAAATTAGAAGGGATATCCGTCTCTGCGAGACCTAGGGCTGCGTCGAATGGCGCGGAGAGGGTTTCTAAGATTTGATGCAGCACGTAAACAAATTCTAGGATTTTTGAAGAGATCAAGTTGCGGTGTTATTTGACCTAGGATGAACTTCAGTCCCTAAAAATGAAAGACAACTCCGCCCTTCCTAAATGCATACGCTCCAAGGTAGAGCGCCATACCAGAACCAGGTAATAGGCTCAGGGTGACTGCAACTTATTCGAACTGTTGGAATTGTCTCGGAGCTGGCTAGGAGGTAGACTACGAGATGAAATCAACTCTGTTATACAAGTGAACGTTGCCTGGGGCTCATCTGACTCATAATGAGATAATTGTCTAGACGAGATAATGATAATCGATCTGGGCCCTTGCATGCAGTCCAGGCAATTGAAACCTCTTCCCGCTATCATCGACGGGGCATACTTAGGGAACAAGGAGAAATACACAGGTTCTCAGTCGACAGATTCAAACTTACATGTATCCTTGATGCACTTCACGGAAACGCAGATCTAAGATGTTCTCAATAACAAGAAGTCATCATGTAATCTTGTTCCTATGGAACTTTACACCTAATCTCACTTTGAGGACACAGCAGATTTTCGAATAGTTATAACTAACGATTTCAGATGCAACGATGCTATCTGAAGTTTGAACCTTGAGCATCAGACCGACCTTGCTTCTAATCAAGTTCCGCGTCTATCCGCACCTGCCGAGATTAGTCTTACTCACGGCAGGTCATGATGCTCTCGGGCAATAGCAGATGGGTTGCAAGTATTGGTCTCACATGAGCAGCTAACAACTTTGAGATAATGGAGGACGAAGTAACACATCCTCATGTGAAGTTCAAGAAAAGAGAAGTCACGGAAAGTATGCAATACATTTCATGCCGAACTTCTAATCCCATTTTCCGAGGACTCCGAGTTGCGTAGGACATTTTCCAAGAGTTAATGACATCACTCACTTATATAAGTCTACCAGCAAGAAACAACGTTGAGACTTTTCGGACATCTTGGACTAAATACAAGTCATGCCTCGGAACCCACCTTATCGAACCCGACAATGGTATTCTAGGCTATTGCCCACATAGCTAAAACGTTGTTAAGATCAGACTTTGCCATAATCAGTCCCCCGAGATGACGTTGAATCTTCTTTCGGATGATAAGAGGCGGGCTTTTCAGAAAAGCCGAAGGGACCGGAAGAGTTCGTCAAGGTTGAGCCTCGGCCCGGCCGTCCAGGTTCAAAGGGATCAATGGAAAACTGAGGTATCCCGGGGCGTGGTCACTCTACCGAGTCCGCCGTCTGTAGACTTCGTGTTCGCATGTTAAACTTCATGTTCCTATTCCGACGGAGGCGACGGAACCTTTCCAAGCTTGATCGAGATCAAAGATTAGGAGCGGGACGGTAATCAACGGATATGTTCAATGACGAGTTGGGAATTGGGTTGAGGAGGTCCAAGTATAAATTTTGGCAAACCCCCTTTGCCAACATCAGCTTTTGGGAACGCAGATTCATCACATTTCCACACATCTGAACATCCACTGACACCACACCCACTCTCTCATCATTATCGCCTGTCTATCAACTTGATTACTATCCATCGTCATAAACAAGCATTTGAAATTCCCGAGATTCCCGTCAATCCAAACTCTATCCACGTAGTTGGGACTCCCGCACCACTCCTCGTACCCGGATCCCCCGAAAACTCAATCCACAAAAACGCACTTACCACCTTCACATAATGAAGACTTCCCAACTCCTCCTCCTCGCCACCCCCATCCTCGCCGGCGTAGCCCCAGCTACAACCGCCGAACAGTGCGGATCCCTCGGCGTAATGGCCTACACCGCAGCATCTCTCGACACCGCCGTCGCCGGCGGCAGTGGCGTCGATGCCGCACACATCCGCATGTGTCAAGAACACCCCCTGGGCCCGGCCCCCCGACCCGAACACGCCGTCGGACCCCGTCCGCAAGCCTCTTCCTCGACTCTCTCTGCAGACGTCGACAGCAAGGAAGGAGTCAACTCCACCGCCGTGAGCCACTGGGGATGGGGCTGGGGGTGGCGGCACAGCGGCTGGGGAAATTGCTGGGACAGCGACCCGGGTGACTACGGGTGTTCGAGCGGCTACTGTTACAAGGCGTGTGACGGTGATGGCAGGTGGTGCTGGACTGCGCGGAATAGGGGGTACGGGGATTGGAAGACGTGCGATACGAATTCTGATTGTGCGAATTTGGATGATGGAGGGTGCGGGAGGGAGTGTAAGTCTTGTGGCTGCGGTTGTTAGGACAGATGGATCCAATGCCTGGTCGCTTTCTTTATTGTTCATTTCGGGACTTTATCGTGGTTGGTGGCGTATGAGATGGAAACAGGAATGCGTCTGAGCTTGGTGTTTAGCTTTGAACTTATGTGTATGCTAGCAGTCTTCAAGTTGAATCTCATCGAAGCGGCATTGATTATCAACTGTGGGTTTCCTCCCTGCTTGTGAGGGCTCTGGACCCTTCTTCGGCACCTCACTTTGCATGTGTCATTGTTGCTTGGATGCATGTGAACATTTCTTTTCCAGAGTTAACTAATAGGGACCGGCACCGAAGTTTGCTTGACGTGAATTAAAAATCTGTCACAACAATGAATCAGGGAGAGAACCCTTTCTTTAAAAAATAAGTAAATAAATAAATAAATACAACCGGACTTTTTCTCTGTCGCGACGCAGAGGCGGCACAAAGATAAGATATTTCCATGGCTTAATGGAGGACTATGTCATTATGCTCCCGGATTGATTCTAGGCGATGAAAGTCTGATTACGATGCCGACTTTCTTCAATGTAAGACGTAGCTTCACAGGCTAGGGGTATCTTGATACTCAGATCTAATAGCTCTAAATCAACAACACAGAAAGTAATTACACTCGCTATCCTATCGTCGGGCCGGGAACCCAAATATCTCCTTCAGATAACAGACCCGTTTTGATCTAAATCTGATAGATCGCGAAACTCCTCCAAGAAGAACTGACTGCCATCAGCCAGAGCATCTTGTGCTATCGTTACAGCTTGCTGTGATTGGTATTTGGCACCAGGCGTTCTGTCATACTCAAACTGAACCACCTCCGCTTCACCGCTCATCGCCATGGCACCAACAGATGAGGTCGAGTCATTGGACCAACCACCAGTCAACGAAGGTAGCTCAGAGGCGTCAGTCGACTGTGTGACAGACCCAAGAGATCCAGGATTCTGAAATTCGCGAACCAGCTTCAGACACATGTCGATCTGGAATTTGTCACAAGCTGACTGCTGTTTTTTCGATTCGAGAAACTTGCGAAACATCTCAAGATCATCGCGATCTGAAAGGTCAGTTGCATGACCGTACTAAGCCGGGGCGTTTTGAAAGACACATACAGGGAGAGGGCATGTTCTCGGGGGAGGTTGACCCAAAGATTATCTTGTAGAGCTCACACCACTTGTAGGCGCGCGTCTTACCGCGCCACTGGGCTTGACATAAACCCCACTACACATCATCCATCATGTCATCAACTTTGTCGTTTCGCTTTACACATCGTGCGTGAGCATTGTAGTGCTTCTTGAGATCGTCCGTCGATGGCAGTCGCTCAAGACATATACTGCATTTACGCCCGGATTTATGATGTTTACGGCTGAGGTGTTCTCTAGTATAAAATATCAGTCTCACTATGTCATCACGTACTCACTGACTGTAATGTTACTAAGCAAAGGGCGAAGCAAAACCTACTTGAGTCTGTGAATGTCGTCCCAGCCATCACTTCCACACAACTTCCAATTCTTCTTGCAGTACTTCTTCGGATCATGTTTGTAGTAAGGACATGCCAGAGGGCGCTCTTCATCTTGAGCACCTGTAGAGACCTTGGAAGACAGACCAATGGGTTCTTCAGGTCCCGAGAGGCTGGATGCAACCTTTGTTCTCTGCTTCTGCGACCTTCGTCGTTTGACCTCAGCCTTGTTATTATTGTTGTTATCTGGCTCACAGCGTCGCTTTTCTCCACTGGTGGACTCTGGAACAGCGAAATGGGGTATGGGGGGTTCTTCGAAAGAGGCTAGGTACTGCTCTGTGTCTAGACATGCCAGCCCACCAATGTCTGGTGCAGTATAGAAACCCATTTCTTCAAAGACAGGGTTTGACTGGTTCATGAAGCTGTCATGATGTGCCTGATTAGAAAAGAATTGCCCTGGGAGTGAGCTGGGTAAAGTCACACTAAGTCTTGCGTCAATTTCTGGGAAAAGTCCATGGGTTGAGTTGGTGTAGTTAGAACCAAACGGAGCCTGAGATGTGATTGTTGGCAGCATTCGACTCCGCCGCGGTGGACTTGGGACCTTGACCACGTTTATAGCGAGAGACCGAGCTCGAGGTGTGGTGGTTGACAGTCCTCCACCTTGTCGCATTGTACTCGGCACACTGGCCAACTTCGTAGTGAGAGAGCGAGCTTGGGGTGAAAGGGCTCCTGTCAAGAGCCGTTGTCGAACTGTCCAGCTTGGCGAATGCCTCCAAGGGGCTGCCTTCGTATAACCAGGATCACTAGAGCACATTTCGAACATCTTCTCGAGGCTGGATACAATATCACCGATCGACATCCGCTTAGAACCGTCGACTTCGAGCATCCCATCTTGAACGAGGTTCAGAAGATCGTGTGTGAATAAACTTGCTGTTGGAGCTCGGTGTAGTCGACTGATCAACTGGCCAAGTCTGCGTTAGCGTATGAATGTAGCACAGATCTATCCTTATCGGTTACTCACTTGAGATACAGCAGCCTTGAGTCTGACTCGGGTTCCCTTCTCTTGGTCTTTGAAAACCTCGAAAAAGGAGTTATCAAACCGTCCATCAGCCTTTGTCCGACGATCGGCGTCGAAAGTCTTGACACCCTTGCTCCCCAAAGTCATCCATGTAGCTGCTACACTCATGACGCAGCCGAGCGACCAAATGTCAGTCTTCTGACCATCGAAGATGCCAACGTCATGCTCTGGAGCACGGTACGTCGGTGAAAAGTCTGCGGGTCTGTCACCCGGCGGAGGGGTTGCCACATTTCCAATTCGGGAGGAGCCAAAGTCGCAAAGCTTCAACGTGTCACTGTCTCGGCTCTTGGAACAAAGGATATTCTGCGGTTTGATATCCCCATGCCGACTCCAACCAGCTGCGTATGAATTCTTCTCACTAGTTGGCTCAGAACGTTTGTTCTGTTGACAGTAATGGATTGCCTTCAGGGCCCCGGCAATGCCGAGCATCTGCTTCGCGGTCCAGGTGGTAGTAGGCACTACGGCGCCGTTCAATTTGCGAGGTGAAGACGGCGACTGGTTGGCGAAGAAGCTGTGGAGGTCGGATTCAGCCCAGGGGAAGAGGAAGTAAAACTTCTTTCCACACTTAAAGGTGGCAAGTAGCTTGGTGATGTGAGGTTGGCCTAGGCGGCCCAAGGTCTTAAGGGCTTCCAGCTCACGCTTGTAGTCATTTGATCTACCATGAAGCAGTTTCTTGACTGCAACCTCGGCAGTGGGGAAGTCGTGATGCCCGTCGTGAATCTGGACTTTGTAAATGCGAGAATTGTTGCTCATTTCGTTTCGAGGCATCCCAAGCCCCGGTGAAGATTCAGACATGATGAATGGCAGTACTGTGTCCTCCGAGAACTCGAGTGGCTCGTTATCAAGTTGTCGTCGTGCGAACACAGGCGCCAAGAGTTTCCATTGTGTATCCACGAACAACAGGGCTTCGTAGTGGCTGAACCCCATTAATGATAGATCGGAGCAAGACGGTGTTTCCAGGGACCGAACCAAGGTAGTCATTTCACCCGATGTCGAGGTAAACGTCAACGGCAAGTGCTTGTCGCCGAGAGAATTCTGCATAAAGGCTGGGAGGGCATCGATACGGTCGATCAAGACTAGAATGGCAAAAGTCTTGATGTATGGCTTCTGCTTGTTGAAGATTGTAGGAGCATAGATGCGACACACCAAATCGGCGATGCCAGGGTTCGAAATCAAGGCCTCTAGTGCCGAGTCCGGGGTAAGGATTCGGTAGAGATCAGGCTCGGGGATAAATTCCTTGGGGTCATTCCCATCGAGATTCAAGGAGCGACACATGGCAGCCTCTAGTAGCTGTCTCAGGGGGGGAGCAAACTCCGTGGTATCAGGCTGGGACGACATTGGCGTGAGATAGAGGATGTCATCTTCGGGGATAGTCTCGACCATGATCAAGTTGCTTTAGGCTCGCAGATCACTGACAGGGCGTTATCCGAATAAGTGGAGGAGTCTTATGGTGGTTTGAGACTTTACTGGCGTGCAGGCTAACCGCGTTCACGACTTCGTTTTTCGGTGACGGGGAGGATGAAAGTGAGCGGAAGGAGGGAAATGCCGTCAGAGGGGGGGGGGGGGGGGGGGGGGCAGCATTTAATAACATAAAAAGGCGAGTAATTGCACATTTCACGAAAAGCGAGGCGATCACATCTTACTTGGGTAACGCAGATGCGATTTTCGGTAACGTATGCCGCATCACTCTTTCCTTGCGTATCTGCGCATCTGCGAAGATTCGACGCGTGAAAAGGACCTCTTGAGCCAACTGGATTGGTCAGGTTCAAGTAGCGCGACCAGGCGTCGAGCACAATCTAGCACAGCCCCGATGCCTCAATGTGACGGCGGGTGTATCTCGCTCAGGTCATGAATAAGGCCAATGCCATTAGGGAAAACCAGCAGGTGTAATTGTTGAGCGAAGGAAGAGAGAACAGTTTGCGTTAGCCGCCCTAATCAGAATCTGAAGGCAAGGAATTTTGGATGATGTGAGTGGTGTGAAGTGACAGAGTGAGTGAGGCGTTGGGTGAGGTGAGCAACAAAGTCCGAAGTTTAAGCTTACCCGGGAATTAAAGTTGGACGGAAAGCTTGGTTAGTCATCCCTACTCCAGCCAACTTCACGTCCGTTCCCCTCTCACACTCTCTTCATCTCACAACTCAATGACCATTTCTCACCTCTCACTCGTCCCTCAAGGTGAGAAGAAATTAGAACTGCCATCTCATCTTATCGCAACTCAATTGAGCATCACAGACACTCAATCTCATCATGGCAACGCAGTGTCAAAAACAACACACCCAGTCGACGACGGAGAGTCGAGCGTTGAGAGACTTACCTTAGATAAGCCAGCATCAAGGACAATCGGTGAGGACGCCAAGACCTGCCAAGGAAAAAATCACCTTCTGGGCGCCTATCACCTCGCACCACGCGACCCTCTCGCCCGCTGCTGCTCTCTTTTTTCGCTCATTGATGTAATCTGTGACCACCGACCAGTGTGTCTGTACGTCCTGCCGTGGTGTCTGGTGCCTTTTTCCACCCCCGCTCCTCTCTTCACCTTCTCTCTTTTTCTCGGCGCTCTGCCCAGGAAAATCCTCGACTCTCCAAACCCCCAAAGGAAGAAATCAAGCAACGCTCGAGGTCGAACGATGAAGCCAGCGATAAAACTGTTGGCGATACCTTCTACTACCCACCGGCCCTAGCATTCAATCCATCTGCTTTCTCCATCGCCTCGCCCCCCCTTGACAAACCAGAACCGCTATTTGGGTCTCTCCACGGTCCGCATAGGTCGGCAAGCCAACAACACACCACGCACGCACGCACAAACGTACCGCAACCGCAACCACGCACCCCACACCCCGCCCGCGAACAACCACGGCGCCGAGACCAAAGACCTCGCCCGTCGTTGCCGTACTTCCGTGCCAGACGAACCACCTCCCATCATCCTGCGGACCTGCCGCAGCATCGATCAGGCAGCGCAAACCCGGCGCGCCGCGTTGCTCTCCCTCTCTCTCGCTCTCTCTCTGTCGCGTCCCGGGACCCAGGTCTTTATACCTATTCGGCCAGGCCCATTGTCATCGCTGTCTTGGCCCTGCGTGGCCTCTTGCCGGTTTCCCGTCCCCGGTCTCCCCTCAACACGTTTGCCTTGACGTAAACCGACTCAACCGAGGACGAAAAGGACGAATCCGTTCCAGTCCATCCCGCCGGTTCGGTGTCCCTCCCTACGGATACACCCCCACCCCTCCCCCCCCTAGAATGAGGCTCTCGTCCCCGAGCCTCATGGGGACCTCCCTCCTCACGGTCCTCGCGGGGTCCGGGCCCGCCCTCGCAACGGTCCCCATCCTAACAGAGGTCTCCCTAAAAGGCTGCGCCGACGTCGCCTGCCCGCCCGGCGCCGTCGACGACCTCGTCGGCGAGTCAAACTGCACCCTTGCCGGCTCCGTCCTCCGCCGCGTCGGCATCGCCCCGGAAGTCCTCGACATACCCATAGACGACAACAACACCACCGACATCCGCAAGCTCTCCCTCACCGTCGCCACCCTCGCAAGCTCCCCCGCGCCGCCAAACTCCCCCAATTGGATGAAGAAGCAGCTCTACACGCAGTCCTACTACCTCGGCGCCCCCGCCGGACTGAATCTCTCCTCGGAGAGCTATCCAAAGGGATGTGCCCTCATCTTTCAGCACATGTTCCAGACCCTACCCACGCCGCACGAGGTGCCCGACCTCGATACCACAGATTGCAGTTCCTGGCTGCAGCAGTCCTGCATGGACGAGATCACGGGCTACGTAGACGACTTCCGCGCCGCGCACTCCAAAGACGAGACGCTGCCCCGGTGCCAGGAAATCGCAATGTACCTCGAGGAGCGGACGCGCACAGATAAAGACTTCCACTGCAACCTCGTCGCCGGCGCCGTCAACATCACCGGCGTGGACGTCATCGGGCCCGACGCCCCCACCGTGCTGGCGCAGGACGCGGGCGACGCGGATGATAACAATGATTGTCACCCTACGCTGCCGCAGGCGTACGACATGTTCAAGCTCACCGACGTTGAGTTGATTCTCGACGGGGACGGGAGCACGACGAAGCCTACGGGCGGGTTGAACGGGTATACGCCCGTCATGAGCGTCTTGTTTGATAAACTCTTGTATTCGCAGTGGATCTGCATGAAGACGATGAGTGAGTATGACCAGGAGAACGCGAGCGCGAGGACGAGTACGCCTGCGATGGCGGGGCTTGTTGTGGTGTTTGCAACCCTGTTGGCAATCATGATGCTATGAACAAAACAACACAAGAACATGGCGAAGTGAGAGAGACAGAGAGTGTGTGGAGAGCGACTTTTAGATTACGAGGGAAAACAGGACTGGACCGGATATTTTATGACTTTACGCAATATATACCCCCAATGAAACCACGGCGGAATAGATATGACACGCCTTATTCAACCCAAATGCTCTTGCCCAAACGCCACTACACATGCCTAGAGTAACAATATTTGATGTGGTGATGATGCAAACCGTGTGTAATGTGTATAACTTATATGATAATGCCGCGCTGCGCCCATCCACCCTTGCCCTTCCAGGCAAAGAGGATCATGCCACACGCCACCCAGACAGTAACGGCCATGGCCCAAAACGTCGGCGCATAACACTGCTGGCCGTAGCAAAAGACGTCTCCGCCGCCGCCACCGCCGCGCTGAGGAGAGTTCTCGGCGCCAGATTGGTATACGGCCGAGTACACCAGTCCCCAGAAAGTCGATCCAAGGGCAGGGAACATGGCTACGATGCCCCAGTTTGTCGCAAAGTTTTCGACGCCCCAGATGACGGTGATGATAATGGGCGTCAGACTGAAGACGGCACCGTACCCGGAGCCAATCAAGCCCGACACGATCCAGAATCGCTCGCCGTGTTCTTGGATGAATCCGGACGCCAAGGCAACCAGGCCCAGGGACAGGACGATGGCGAAGAAGAGCAGGAACGCAACGCGGGAAATGGTTGGTCTGCCTCGAAGGAATGGCGGCGTGGACGAGGCCTGCAGGTGCTGCGTCTGCGGCGACGGCGCCAGGAGATCGGTCAAGGTGCCTGTTGCGAGACGAGCAATGGTACTGGTGATGCCGACAATAGAGACGTGCGTCGCGGCCGACGTCGGAGGTCCGACGTAGTGCATGGTGGGAGGGTACAGAGTGCCGATGACGGTGCCGAGGTTGTTGATGAAGGCCTCGCCGGTTCCAATCATCAACAGGAACCCCAGAGCGAAACACCACATCGTCTTGTCGGTAAGGAAGCTCCTTGTCTCAGCGTTGAGGACCATCTTCTTCCTGAGCTTGGCATCATCTTCCGCGGGACCCAGGACGCCGCCGTCTTCCTCATCGTCGATTTGCCCAATTGCGCCGTAGCCTCTGCTGCGCTCAAGACTGCGGGCGCTGAGGAACGAAGTGCTACGCTCCAGGAGGCCGCTTCGCTCGAGCTCTTCGACGGCTTCCTCAAAGATTTCTTCTTCGTCGACAACCTTGAGTGTGAAGGTGCCAGTTACTCCCACCACTAAGAGCAGGATGGCGAGGAAGACGAAGAAGTGGAAGACATCCAAGTCTCCGGCCGAGCCGTCCGGTAGGCGCTCGTAGAAGACGTGAGTGCCCAATTGACTGAGCCACATGCCGCTCAACCCAAAGGCGGCAATGGGCACGGCCAGGGCCAGTCCGCGATGCTTCCCCTTGCCAAAGTTCTTGGCGCACGTCGCGACAGCGGCGAGGTACATGGAGCAGGTACCGACACCTACGCAGACGAAGGCGAAGATCATGAGCGGGTACGTCCAGTCGGCACCGCCGCCGATGCGCCTTCCGGCGTAATCGCGCATCCCGCCCAGGTTCTCCGCCTCGAGCTTCCGGTATGTGCCCGCGGCAATGGCATAGCCGCCGCTGAAGAGTATAGCCGCCAGGAGCGAGAGGGGCGGGGTACCGACGCGGTCGCAGATGTAGCCTAGGAACGAAACGGGAAGGTAGAGAGCAATGGAGCTGCTGATGGCGAGGCCGTTGACCTGGAACTGGGTGTAGTGCAGGCGTTCCTGGAAGATGTGTCCGTACATGGAGAAGACGGTGATGGAGCCCGCGCAGAGGGCCGAGACCAATGCTGCGACGAAGGAGATGGCTCGAAGAGTGGTGGCCGCACGGCGGCTTGGACGTTTCCGCCTCGGTGGCGTCTGGGAGTCGAAGGAGGATCTCGAGCTGAAGCGGCTGATTGTAGAGGAAGCATCGTCGTCGTCGTGAGCTCCCGCAACGAGGGTCCGATCATCGGACGGGGTTGGGGTGTCTGCGGCTCGCGCCATCTTGACTGGATGGGTGCGTGGGAGGTTCAGTCGAGTTCGTAGATATGTGGGAGAGGGTACGGATTGGCGATTTGGAGATTACGCCTCGTTCGGCGGTGAGTAGGTAAGGGAACAACAGACAATTAGACAGAAAAAGAAAGGCAGCCGCTGTTCATTATGGCGCAGATGAAGAAGTGAGGTGGCCGGATCCGCGAGACTCGAGTCACAAGCAACCAAGATCAAACATGACGTGCTCAAGATGGAGGGCGAGGAGAGGAGAGGAGAAGTCTCGGGTTTGCGGATGGCGGATGGATGGTGGACGGGATGGAACTGACTGGGGGGGGAGGAGGGCGAGAAGATGGTGGGAGGAGACGGACGGCCCGCGTCGGAGTCAGGAGTTGTAGTCACGATTTCGCACGTCAGCAGGCCGCCTCTGTCACTGCAATGATGTCGTGCTCGCCGGCCTGGTGGACTTTGGAGCGCCTCTTAGGCCGTTTGAACGCTGCTGGACTGTTTGTCCGGCGGGCCCGTTTGTAACTGACACAGCGCTGGGGCACAGAGCTTAGGCTGCACCATGTCACTGGCCGGGTGGCTGGTGGAGGGCAGACAGCGAGCTAAAAGCTGGGGTGGGCCAGGCACCTCTCGCTTACCTAACCTTGCTTTAGCGAGATCGGAGTCCGGTGGATTCGGTAGCCGCCGCCAAGGATTAGATAAGATAAGACACCAATACCAAGGTAGGTATCGATAGAAAACCGTCTTCCGGGTCACGTGCATCCCTCCTCCACCTTTGCATTCTCATGATGACTCTCCATTTCTCAGGGGGTCTTTTCTGCCTTCTTCTCAGAATTAAAATTTCCTGAACATTGATTCTGATGCTTCAGGAGCTTTTACAAGCCGCATGGTCAATATGGAACACGCTGGGGACCAGCGCGGTATTGTTGCTGAGCAGTTTACCAAGCTCACCAACGACGATGGATCCCCCAATACGGCACTCCGGCACGCCAACTTGGACAATCTCGTCTCGAGGCTCACGCCGTGGGAACTTCTTCATCTTAGGCAACTGACAAGGAGAATCTCAGTCAAACTTGCAGAAATGCAAGATCTTCCAGAAGAATTAGTCGCTATGATATCGCGGCATCTGCGCCTTGGAGATGCAGTGAAGTGCACCCAGGTTTCCAAAGCATGGCGCCAAATATGGACATCTCACACGGTCATCAAGGATATTGCCCACATTTCCTTCCCCGGCTTGACGGCGACGTTCCCAGATACGCCAGCTTGGGATCTTCTGCGCCCTATCGCTCAAAAAACCACAGCCCGTAACGAAGGCAGACTCACTTCCTGGCTCTCTATGAGGACAGCCGACGTGCCTCTGCTGAAATGCACCGCCCTCAAATACGATGATCGCAGCCTTGAATTTGCAAAGTCCAACCCCATAACCACGCCCTACAATTGGGAATCGAAGTCCTGGCACGGCTTCGCTTATTATAACGGAAAAGTCGCCTGGCAGTGGGATTCCTACCGTTTCTTCGTTGACGACATTCGAGCTATGACAAGGAAGCTCGTTTCCCCGCCCGATCTCGTGGTAAAGGGAGACAAGGACTTCATCGTATATGCTATGACGGAGAATCTCTTGATCCTAGCAAATCAAAATACCAAGAGGGCTCTGTAAGTTGTTCCGCGACCATTCGCCACTACATCCGAAAAAATATCTCCAGCTATTGAGAGCCCAGCTGATCGGCTCAGTATCGTATGTGACCTTGATAAGGGTCAACACCGTCGTGTCACCCTCCCTAACCGCATGGTGGACCTACAAGCCCACAAAAAAACATTCGCCGTTAATTTCTCTCTTGACTACTATGGCTATCGCGGGTTTGAACCCGCAACCCCCCCGCCCCATATCTGGAACTGGTCTACTGGTCTTATCAAGCTTGACGTTCCTGACTCTCCGTTGACCGAGGAACCCCGCGGTGGTAGCTACGCATGGGACGAGAACAGAGACGACGGCTCGGACTGCAACAACGGTGTCATCTTCCACCCAACGAAACCTCACATTCTCTACTTCGTCAGTGTCTTACTTAATAGTCCCAGGCCGAGTGATGAAGGGAATGAGACTGACACTGCGGATGAAAATGAACTCAAGGAACGTTCATCTCGAGATCTCCTCCTTGTCGAGGCTCACAAATTTGATAACATGAAGTTTGTCGAAACTTTCACATATAAATCAATCAGGAGATGGAGAACTGCCCCGCGCTTTGCACTGCACTGCCAGCGCATGAATTCCTATGGACTCTTCAACATTGGCAAAATGTACAGGCCGCTTTCGAAGGATGTCGCCATTCTCAACAGCGAACTGCACGGTGGAAAGAGTAAGATCGTCAAGTCGCCCAGTTTTCTCCTAAGAATTATCAATTTCAATACGATGACGGAGTCATTCGTGGTCGAAAAGAGGGTCCTCAACGGCATGCGGAGGCCAATATGGGAACATGCTGCTCTCAGACCAGAACAAGCCGGTGGCATCTCGTGGAACGACTCTGTATATTATATCCAAAACAAAGATTCCCACCTCCCTGCCGAAGCGACACCACGATGGAGGCACCGATTCGAAGGCAAGAACCAACGAGCAATTTGCATCGCCAACAAGACATCAACATTTGTCCTCGAAACCAAAAGCCTCTGGTTCGAAGAGTCCGCCCGCATGGTTCGCGGCGACGGGGAAAGATTCCGTAGTATCGCGGTCGACGATGACTTCGTAGTCGGTCTTTGCAGACGAGGCTACGTCGTGTACAACTTTGGCAACCCGAGCCTGAAAGGAGGGTCCTGGTCCGAACCCCATCAGGTGCAGCACTACACGGAAAAGGACATTGATTGTCCGAAGCGGGGGTGCCCGGGGCCGGAGGAGTCCCGTTCCCGGTGGTGCCCGATTTGCGGCGATGGCACTCTCAACAACTTCCTATGGGACCGTCATTCTGCAGAAAGCTTGGCTGTCTCGTCGGACGAAGACGATGAGAGCTCCGAAGGCATGCCTTCGTCAGGATAGTCCGACGAGGCGGACTAGTATGAAACCTCGGATTACGACGACCGCTATGAGTACTAGTTGCAGTGTGTATGCTTCAGGTATACACTGGGGTTGATCTTGAACAGATCGTTATTCTTTTGTTATCCGCCGATGCCATTATTGAACTGGAGAACCTAGATAGAGGGATCGATCTCCTGAGTCACCGCCGACAGTGACGACGAAACTTGAAGACGCATAAGCGGTAATTGTTAGCCATGCGACGCAGCCAACTTCTACCATGCTGAAAGCCAAACCTAAGCAGTTCATGACACAAACATTCTCCCCAGAGCCATGCCTATTCCGTCATAACGCCAACATCGTTGTCATCGCCTACCCATACAGGAAGCATTGTGATGCTCGTCGTTTTCGACTGACTGTGACCGGCTGGCACCATCTGGCAATTCCGGGTGATAATCGCCGCTGGTAGCTGGGAGAGTGGGAGGTTACATCTAACAAATGTCTGGCAGTCTTGCAACGGTCAGCCAGTGTCCCCGCTTCTCAGCTTCGGACAAAGCTTGAGCAGCACGACATGCCATGCGAAACCCAGCTTACCCATGTCTCCATCGCGGCCTCTTTCGACTCTGTCGCGCTAGTCACATGCGATGCGCCTCATCAACACGCGCACCTTGGCCCTGGCCGAGTTCTTTGGCGACGAGATCCCGCGGTACGCTATCGTCTCCCACACGTGGGGCCATGATGAAGTGACTTTCCAACACTGGACGGTGGATCTCTGCGTGGCGAGGGAGAGACAGGGCTTTCGCAAGATTGATCTGGCCAGGATCCAGGCGATTGATGATGGACTCGATTACCTCTGGATCGACACCTGTTGCATCAACAAGGAGAGTTCCGCTGAGCTGTCCGAGGCCATCAACTCCATGTTTACGTGGTACGAGTGCGCCGTGCGATGCTACGCCTATCTCTCGGATATAGAACACTGGGTTATAGACCAACCAGGACGCCTTGACGGGCCCACCGGCGACGCAGAGCATAGCTTCAACGTCCTTTCGCGGAGTCTCTGGTTCACACGCGGCTGGACGCTCCAAGAACTCCTGGCCCCCAAGGAAGTTCTCTTCTTCGCCCGTGGCTGGAGACTCCTGGGCACCCGCAAGCTCCTCGCAGGTGTCATCCAAAGAATCACAAACATTGACTGGAAATACCTCCAGCCACGAAGTAGGCAACGCCTGTCTGACGCCAGCGTCGCCGAGCGCATGTCATGGTTATCGTGCCGCAAGACGACTCGCAAGGAGGACATGGCGTATTGCATGCTCGGTATCTTTGACATCAACATGCCTCTCCTCTACGGCGAGGGCGCGAAAGCTTTCGCGCGACTGCAGGAGGAGATACTAAAGACATCGACGGACCAGTCACTCTTTTGCTGGTCCTGGACCGAGAGCGACCCGGGTTCGTGGGTAAGCATGCTGGCGCCGTCGCCGCGCAACTTTAGAAACGGGCAGGATTATCACCCGGCGTACGACGCCTCGAGCAGGCCGGTGCCGTACTCCATGACCAACTTTGGCTTATCGATACAGCTGACGGTGATACGCCCTGCCGATATCCGTATTTCCAACTTCGGCTTCCGGCCGCCGGAGTGTATCGGTATCCTGTCAGCCAGCACAAAGGACGGCCACCTCATCGGGGTTCCCCTGGAGAGTACCGGCCTGGTTGATACATACAGAGTCATTCGGGATTTCCCCCGACTTATCTCACTGCGATGGACCACTCACGACCTCGGGCTCCTAAAGTCCGGCAGCCTCAAGGTCGAAGTCCACGACATATTCGTCCCCTCAAAGGCACCGGGAAGTGACCTCGGCATCGTCCAGCTGAAGCCGCATGACTCGAACTTTCACCTAGGCGAGTACGCCATCATGCTCCTCGTCATGCACAACCGGGGCTCAGGCGTTGACATCTTCACGCGCATCGAGGCCATACCGCGGTACACGGATTCCATGGCGGGATTTATCACCATGAAGAAGTTCAAACTTCCCCAATCACTAACGACAACGACAACCACAGCGACGAACTCGGCCGTCTTCAACGCAATAGAAGCCCACGGCGCGCTCGTCCGACTCCACGCAAACTCCCTCAGCCAAAAGGACGGCGCCCTCTGGATGCTCTTCGGGGTGCTCGTCAACAAGGCAGGGCAGTCGTGGTGGATCTTCCGGTACCTGGACGGGCTCGCCTCCACCTCTGGCTCTTCTGCCTCCTCATCGGCCTTCTCGATGACCGAGGCGAATCTAGAGAGGCTGCTGCGGGACGCCGCGACGAATTGGCAGCCTTCGTACCGGGCCAAGACGCATGCCTCCCCGCAGGCGGTGGAGAGCAGGCGGGTGACGAAGCGGGATGCGATTACGATTACGTTTGGGCCCGAGTTTCGCGCCGAGGTGAATGATCGAAAGACGATTGCCAAGGCTGCGCATCTTATTGTTTCAGGAGTTGCTGCTGGGTTGAAGGCGGCGGATACGATCTAAGACCTTTCGGCGATGAAGGATGAAATCACAAGATGAAAGAATTGCTTTTGGTTGAGGTCATCAACCTCGGAAGCCGGGCGTGATACTCTCGAGTGGGTACTTGACTGAGCAGTCTCGGCAACGAGACATTAAAGGTCATGGATAAGAGATCGCGATTGGTGTTCAAAATATTTATAATTGAAGAGTAAGGATATGTACCGGTGGTAGGTGAGAAATACTACGAGGAGCAATCTCATGCGCCAAACACCTTATGGGCCTAGACATACCTAGGTTAACAACACGATCCCCATGACCCCTGAATGCCGCTTTTGTACTCAGAATCCTAGCTCAATCTCATGTTCAAGCAGTGGTGGCGTTGTAGCCAATGCCTAGTCCGACGGGGCAATTCGGCACATCCGCCTGCCACGCTGCGTTGTTCTTTGCGAACGCGGGCAGATACGAGTTTGTCGTGAAAGTCTATGAGAAAGGTCAGCTCATCACATCCAGGTAAATGATAGTCTCCCATCCTGAGATTTAGACTTACGCTAGGCAGGTAGTAAGAAACATCAGCAGACGTGTAATTTCCACCCAGCGACTTCAGCACCGAGACAACGGAACCGGCAACGTAGTCCAGGAAGATGAGATCTATCTTGTCATCATCCGCTAGCTCACCGCTGGTGGGGAAGCTGCCGTTGGCCTGGAAGAAGTCGGGGTAATCGTACGTTGGGATCTCGCTGTGCACAGTATCGTCTCCGTCGGTGCCAAAGTCGTCGGTGGTAGTGTACCCCGGCGTAACAGCCTGACGCCTGACGATGCGCCCGCCAGCGTAGGACCGCTTTGAGAAGTGGTCGTTCGTCACATGCGGGTCGATGCAGCTGTCCACAGCGGAGAGAGCCGGGTTGACCTGGCTGAAGCCAAAGGAGTCCGACGCAAGGGAACGTCTGCGCTTGGAAGGAAACCCGCCGGATTCGAGACCGGCGAGGACCTGGCGCGCGAGAGACCAGTCGACGTCGGGGATGTACTGGAACCCGTCGGTGAAGGGGGACACGATGAAGGAGGAGTCGTAGTCAAAGGGGCCCTGGGCGAGGTCGAAGCGGATATGGCCCGTGTTGGCGAGGATGATGCGCGGCGTGGCCTTTCTGGCTTCGGTGACGATTGTGGCGGAGAGGGCGGTCGACAGCAGGGAGTAGATGGAGCCGGCGGACATGTAGGGCGCGCAGGCGATGCACCACGTCTGGGGCGCGCAGCCGTAGAGGGAGGTGAGCTTGAGCTTTTTGCGGGTTGCTGTGATGTTTGCTGAGACGGCGAGGCCCTTTGTGGTGTTGAAGGCTTTGAGCTGGCTGCCGACTGCGTGGTACTCGAATGTGAGGGTGTTCCTGAGGAGTGTGGTCAGTATGGCGGTTACTCTGATGGTTAGTGTGTGTATATCTTACCAGTCCAGGTAGCGGCGAGAGTACGTGATGCTAGAGTTCCCGGTAGCAGCCGTCGCTCCGGCAGTCACGTTGACAGCCTTTTGAGACGGGTGCGGCACGCCCTTGGGATACACGGCGCCCTTGTAGCTATCCGACTTGACGCCGCTCAGCGACAGCCAGCCTACGGTTTCGCAGTAGCGGCCGGACTCGAGGGCGGTTGACTTGTCGTCGTAGACGGCAAAGTCGCGGATGTGGGTGTGGCCGCCAAAGAACTGGACGGGGGTGTCGGGCTTAACGGCGCGGATGGCGTCGAAGACGGTCTTAAGGGTGCTGCTGCTCTGCGTCGGGCGGACGGGGTTGTGGCCGATGACGAGGAAGAGGTCGATGGGCTCGGCGTAGTCGACGGCGTCGAGGAACCATTGCTGCTTGACCATTGTGGCGGCTTTTGTGACGACGGAGGCGTTGGAGTTGCCTGTGAAGTCGAAGAGGACGCCAAAGGCCATGATTCTTAGGCCTGTGGATGGATTGGTCAGGCATTGGAAAGACAATGGCAGAGAAGCTACATACCCTTGGGGGTGGTGAAGTATCTGTACTGCTTGCCAATGGTCTCGAGCGCTCCCGTGCTGGGATTGCGGATCTGGACGTTGCTCGTCAAGTATCTGTCACCATAGACCTTGGCAAACTGGCTGAAAGTCTCATACGCGATGGCGGAAACGTAGAGCTCGTGGTTGCCAATGGCCAAGACATCGTAGTCAATGTTCTCGAAGATTGGGTTCGACAATTGGCCGTTGACGCCGGTATCGTTGGCGTAAGTCGAGACGCCGGTGGCATCGCTGATTCCTGCACCATCGTGCAAGTCCTGAATGTGCGTCAGTTGAGCTGTAGCGGACCGGTTTTGAGGATGGCTGGTGGGCGGAAACATACTCCCGTGTCGACCACCAGCAAGTCAACATCCAAATCCTTTGCCTTCTGGCGCATGTGCTTGACGAAGCTCACAAAGTCACCCCAGTCAGCGCCGTAATTTTGCTCACGGATGTGTCCCTCGAGCCTGTCACTTTTTGTCAGCATCCGAGTCGTGCGAGGGGACTCTTCAGAGAGATGTAGAGATCGTACCATCCGTGAGTGTCTGTGTCGAGGTTGTTAGTATCCCCGACGTTGCAACTCGTTCAAAGACCAAGTCTGGCTTACCGGTGGTGTGAAGGAAGTTCAATTGACCCCACGAGAGCGGACCACGAGGCGCAACGGTCGCCGCCTGCGCATCGGGCTGAGCGCGACGCACATTTCTGGTCAGTACGACGTCTCTCTCAGGATGCTCGCAGCTCTCGCAGGCGAGGGCCGGAGCGGCGCCGAATGCAAGGGCGAGGGAGGCCCAGATGCTATTTCCGAGACGCATTGCGACGTGAACAGGCTCTCAAATGAATAAAGAACGAATGGTCCAACGTCTGGAAAACCTTGTTTGCGAGCTCAAGCAAAGACTGGCGAGAACCTCTGAGCAGCAGGTCGGCAAGGCCCAGGATACCAGGCGTGGGATGGCATGCAGCCAAGCTTTTAAAAGATGCGCTTCCCGCTCGAACAAGCTTTTCCTCTACATGAGCCGAGAGCAGCAGCTGGAGACGGCGTGGTATTCCGGGCAGCTGCAGCTTTGCCGCGCTGACGCGGCAAATGATAACCCATCGCTCTCCCCCCTCAATCAATATATCTCCATCGGGGGCGACCGAAATCGCAACTCGCAAAGCTGCTATCTCGCTATCATCCAAAGCAACAAGACAACCCAGACACGTGGGATAAACTTGATAAAGCAGCTTTGCCAGGGATCGCTAGGGACCGAGCTTCCTCTTGTTATCTAGCGTGGCCGATGTCCGCGCCCCATTTGACATGGCGGGCCCGCAAGAGATCTCGTTTAATGTGCCGTCCTTGCCGGGTTACCCAAATGGCGATCGCTGGTGATCCACGGGGTGCTTTGATTGGTTTATATATTGGCTGGGTGTTTACTAGTCATGTCAGTGGACTCTGGAGATTAGTTGCAGCAAACGTCACTCGCAAGTTGAATTGTAGGTTGAGTCGTTGACTAATCCTCAAATGATCGAGTTAAATTGAGAAAAAAAAAATGATGTTCACCTTCGCTCTAAGCCCTATTCCATTACTACACCACAAGCACAATTCGCGAGAATAACGCAACTCTTATAGGTCAATCTTTGACAACTAGATTCGGCTGCTATCGACTCGAAAAAACATGGTAACATGCATCCTTCATATGCTGTTTGAAGGCTCTTGGCTCATAGGTCAGCCAACGATGAGCGCGTAACAAGCTAGTGCCACCGTCAGCTCTCCAAACAGGTCTCCGAACATCTCGAATGTGGATGTCCACCACTAAGCGGGCTTAGTATCGAGACACTCGATGTTTCCTCTACATGGTGTTGACTATACCACTGCAGACTGGCGAAAGTGACGAAGAGCGATGCATTCAGTGACTACTAGGTAAGTAAAGACATAGATGCTGACTGACTAGTTGAAGACGGAGACCGCTCCCATCTTGAGTCGTAGTCAACTGGCCCACCAAAATGGCTCTTGTACTGTGACTGATGGAGCTCGACTCTCAACGAGGGTGCATGAGCCACGAGTGCTCCCATCCCACCGGTGCTCTGTTTCATCATGGAACTCCGGTATCCCAAACAAGGGGAAAGGCTATCCACAACAAGCTATAAGATGTGGTATTGCTAGTCTCAATGCCCCGAAGCATCCATACTCAGTGAACAACCCGGATTGTCTCATCACAATTTAGGTAGTTTAGCTAATTAAAATAGTAGCAGTGTCTGGATTCTGCTCACATGCCTGAGGTCGCCTGATGCGCTCCGGCATCGCGGAGTAATCGCGCATGCTTTCCTTGCCTAAGTAGACAAGGTGTCCATGCTCGAATTAAGCTTGTCAATAAGGAGTAGGCTTGGATATCGGCCGGCTGGGAATGCCCGACATACTCGCGATCCTCGGTAGGCTCAGCACCCCTGAGTTGATGCGGTAGATCCACTCAGATAGTGAACGAGTTTCGAAAGCTTCCACCCCGCACTCGCCTCACATCAGCCCTCCCGTCCAGGGGCCTGGAACTGAATTAGGGCTTAGGTTACTTTGAATGAGAGATCCACTGCCTGCTTGTTACATCCCTAGACCGTCATTCGTTTGCCTGGCTCCAGAAAAGACAAGCTGAATAGATCCAAACACAGGAGCTGGGCTACATTGTCACGCTACCTTCGGCGGTACCTTTGTGCTTCACTGAGCGAGGATGTCGAGAGTGAGAAACAATGCATGTCCCGCGTTGTATCTTGATGTAGTCAAGTTTTGGCCTGTCAAAGATCGATGAATTTCGAAGAGTGATGTACACCAGCGAGTTTGTCTTAGACCTCGGGTCGACTGCTAAAGGCATATTCCCAGTTCACATTACCATCAGTTGAGACAGAGTCTACGCACTGACGAAAGCACGCGCGAGGTTCATCGGTCATCTTCAGACGGCAGCCCACGTCAGAATGCATGACAGGAGGAGATTCAAGGAAATCGGATGACACCGAAGTTGGGCTAGCCCTCGTCTCAGCATCTTTCTCGTCAAAGATGATAACTATCAACACTGCGCTACATGATGACTTCGTTGGCCAATGGATAGAACCTACCAAGAACACTATCACAAGTCAAATGCGTGGTCCAAGGTTGCTTCATGTACTAATAATGGCACTCTGCATCCTAAAGACTCATCTCAGCCTCCTGTCAAGATCATCCTGCATGAAAATACATGCGATCTCCAAGCTTTTCGCAGTCTTGTCCTTCCGCGACGAACCGAATTTTGAAGCTTGAACCATGCACCTGGCTTGGCTCTATCCAAGCCTGACACATCCCATGAATCAAAACCCGAGGCTCATTAAGCTCGCTTTTAGAGCCGAGTTTCGCAGGGACTCCGCGGGTGGGTCTGCCCTGTGGGTTCACTTACTACCCCGTATTATCCAGCTCTCCTTTCGGAGTAAGCGATACTACCTGGCAAAACAGCTGAGGACTTCAGCCAAGATGTTTAGGAGCTGAGACCTTGTAGATCATAGCTGAGCTGATGGTTAATAGGATCAACTCAATTCCTATAAATCTAGATGGAAGTTACTTGCTTTATGGTTCTTGTCTCAATTCAAACCACCTCAATTGACCGCATTCGCCTTATCCTTTCTAAGTACTTATTTACATCTTGTAATCACAATCCCCAGTCTGCTGTGCAGAAGTCTTCCATTTCACAATCATCAGTCAAACCACCACACCAATGCACTTCTCAACCATTATCATCACTCTCTTTTCCGCCGGCGTCCTCGCCCAGAACGGGTAAGTTTACTAAACTCAGATCAAACTAGCCCCATGTCGATGAGCAACCTTTCTAACGATGACTGCGAATTCAGATGCGGCTTCCCGGATGGACCTGACTGCCAGTCCCTCGGCAAGGGCGCGAACGGTCTGGAACAGTTCGCAGACCCTGATGGCTGTTGTTTGCTGCCCCTCCGCTGCGGCAACGGCGATGGTGGCGAGAGATGCGAGCGTGTGAGCGGGGCCGGTGCAGGCGGCGCGACCAACAACAACAATGCCAACACTGGTAATACTGGTAACACTGGCAATGCGAGGAACGGAAGGAACAGAAATAACGCGAACAAGAAGAGACGTATCTAGTTCTCATTATGTTACAATGAATAATTTACTGTTGTTATATGCAATGATTCTTGAGAGTTGATCGCTGATACTTGATGATAGACATTTTTCTGAAATACTGAGATCAACTTCCCTGATAATAAGGAAAAGAATGTTACAAGCCATAGCTAAAGTAGGCCGTCTTAGTCAGTCTCGTCAATCACGCTTCCTTGGCACACTGCTTATATGATATATGTCTTGCGCGGGGCTATGCACGCCGACCTTTAAGTGAAAAAGTTGGAAGCAGGTGCCAGGGACAGGAATAAAATGGACAACGAGACAAATATACGAGTCGAGTGCCTCACGAGTGGTCATTTATATGTACTCAATGGTACAGTGCTTCATAATCTTAGAGGGCCCTATGAGATTATTTCGGCCCGCGTGATGGTGCCAGAGTCACCTTCTCGGAACCGACCTCGGGCCGATGTTAGGAGGAAGCGCCAAATAAGCATGTAGGGTTTCAACCAGCTTGCATGATTCCACAGCATTAAGTGCCATGGCACCATGGTAATCCAGATAAGCTCAAATTCCAGCCATCTAGCAGATCGAGAAGTGATCTGGCGAGGGCGCCGAGGCCTTACGCTGGACGGTCTATGCCAAAACCGGCTTCAACCTGTAGTCGCGGCAAGCTTTCTTTCAGCAATTGGAGGACAATGAATAGAAAGCATTCTTTGTTTCCATTCAGCGCCACTGAAATGTAGATTGACGCAAATGGCTTTGAAATGTTAGCGGCGCGGAGTCAAGCCACCTCAAATCAATGAGAGCTCTGCCGCAGTGCAGCCACGGCCCCGAGGCCAACTTCGCCGCTCATCTAAGCGGGCTGGAGGATTTGTACTTGTGAATCGTCCCTATCACTTACCTATCCTTTCCATTCAGCTTATTCTGTGTTTCGTGCAAAACCGAAACCATCCAAATCGCCGACAATAGAAATTGATCGCGAGACTGTTGCCAGTCGGGTGATCTCCTGAAAGTTGAAACTGAAGCCTGCGCTGAGAGGGCAAAAGACGCTGAGAAGAGCGCCGCACTGAAAGACGAAGATATTACTCCTCGTTTCTGCAACTATTCATTATCACTTTCGCAGTCATGCTTTGGGCACGGCTCGCGCCGCCCCTGCTTCTGCTCTGCCTCGGCCAACTCACAACAGCATCCGATCTGGGCGATATCCCACCATGCGCTGTGAGTACATTGGCCCCATGTGCTCTTTGAGACATTTTTCGTTAACATCCTACAGGTACCCTGCCTACTGGACGCGATTCCCAAGTCAGCATGCGCTTCGGGCGATCAGACATGCCTCTGCGAGGACACTTCATACATCAATCTCGTAGAGACATGCATTAGAGCAAATTGTTCGGTCAAAAATGCCCTGAGTTAGTACATCAAACCACGTATCGAGTGTACTAAAAGGCTGATTGCTGATCTTACGTCTAGTCACGAAGAATATCACGCAAACGGAATGCGGATTCCCGGTAGAAGACGACTTCGCCGCGGTCAAGATCGTTCGCCTAGTTCTATTCTTCACACTTGCCACTATCGCCATTATCCTACGCTTGGTAGTGAAGATAGCTCGGATATCATCATGGGGACTTGATGATAGTACTATCGTACTAGCATATGTGAGTTATGCCGCTGAAGTGGACGAGTAGATGGAGAAAATTCTAACTCGTGAACCAAGGTCTTGATGATAGGTTTCATACCTGTCAATCATATTGGTGTGAACATTCCTTTCCATATATACATGTAGTCTTTGACAGCTAATGCCTAACCTTACAGCTGAACTGAACGGCGCTGGGCGAGATATCTGGAGTCTCACCTTTGACCAAATTGATCTCTACTTCTTGGTAATGACGTTACTTCCGAGGACAGGGAATTCTGAGGCGATACCTTGATGCTAACTAGCTCCAGACTTTTTACATTGGGCAGTTGATATACACATTCACACTGACGTTGATCAAATGCTCTATACTGTTCATGTTTCTCCGAGTCTTCCCTGGCAAGAACTTCCGCCGGGTCTTGTGGGCAACGCAAGCCGTCACCGTGGGTCTCGGGATGGGTTCCGTGTTACTAGTGGCCTTCCAGTGCCAACCTGTTGGCATAGTATGGAAATACTGGACCGGGGAAGAGAAAGGTCACTGCGTACCAGTGCTACCACTTGGAGTGGTCCATGGAGCGGTCAACATCGTACTAGACGCCTGGATGCTCATGTTGCCGGCATCGCAGGTGCTCGCTTTGAACATGAAACGCCGGAAGAAATGGACGGTGATGTCCATGTTCAGTCTCGGTTTATTGTGAGTACTGTCTCGGAACCCTTTCATCGCACTTCACACACTGTAGTTCCCTGACCTACGACTGAACCTTTTTACTATCAGCCTCACAATAGCCAGCGGCATACGGCTGAAGGCGATTTTGAAGTACACTTCCGCATCGACCAATCCAACTGGTAAGTGAAACCAGCCACAAGTGCTGCTGCCGCGGCGCTCGAGAATACTGACGGACTGACCGTTTCTAGTTGATACAATGCCCGTCGCCGTTTGGTCCGACGTGGAGCTCGACGTAGGCATTTTTACGACTTGCATCCCGAATATCTGGCAATTCGTCTGCCGCTTTATTCTCAAAGACCCCGAGCGAGTGGAGAAGCTGAGCTCGCAACATGCGCATAACCAGAGTTTGGAGGAATATCAACGGAAGTCACCAGCACCGGCGTCGATGGAGGTCGATGAAGAGGAGCTAAGATGATGCTAGGTCACAACTGTTGAGGCTACATTTCATCCTTTGATAAATCCTTACGCGAACATGGGTTATTTTTGATTATTTCCGAGACATTTGCCAATTTGCAGAAAATGGAAGATAAGAACCTTGAGTGAAGTTCATACCAAGGCAACGTGTCCCTTGCGACGTCTAGATGCAGCCATTTTGAAGTAACGTTTGACGAATTCTAAATCAGGCATGATCGAAGTTGTTTAGGATAGCTGATGCACGGCAGACAGCCCGAAGGGGCCCGATCCAAACTTTCTTTCAGCAGACCATGGCATGTGGTAAGTGAACTAGGACGATAGTGTGTTCTTGGCAACTAGTCGGCGAGCAACCCCGACGCTACGGTCATGTTATCCGAACTTCGGCTGAGAGTCGCACGAACCTGAACAACTACCGTTCTACAGCCAACTGACCATCTACCTAAGTATGTCAGGACTGAATCGAAGTCGAAATCATTGAGAGAATCCCGTGGAATTGGTACTGGTACATTTGTATCATACAAAGGTCGATGCCCCTTGCAACTGTAGCTCAGATATGTTGAGATCTAGCCTCTCACAATCTAGGTTTTACATCACCAGCTATCTCAATCTGGGCCGCCAAAGGCACATTGCCGAGAGCTGTCGGGCCACTGCTTCCCTCCATTAAGACATTATACGGGTTTTCTTGCTTCCCAATCTGTCTCCACTTCCAAAGCTTCGGCGGGATCTGGTCTTGCCCCTTCTTTTCCAATGCATCTACAACCCAATTGCCGATGTTCGGAAGATATTTGAACGCGTGTCCGCTACCACCAGTCGCAACCATAAGTGACTCCTCGGTCTCGGGAACGTGGTCAATGACAAAGTGATTATCATAGCTGTCCGTATACCAACACACTCTGGTAAGAGAAATATCGATGCCCTCGGCGCCTAGCTCCGGGAGATTCTCTGCCAAGAAGGAGCGCAAGACTTTCAAAGCTTGCTGGGGAATCGTCGTTAGGCGCTCATTAGTGGCTTCGTTAGGATCGCCAGGCGCCGACGCAGTCGACCACCGCGTTACGGGTACGCTGCGTTCCTTGCCATCAGCTTGCGTGACGGGGTTTGTGTACTTTGTACCGCGATAGCCGATCTTCAACCAGCCATTCTCATCCCTCGGGAATCCGTATAGACCACCCTCAGCGCCGTCCCTCACCTTGTATGTGAATGTTGGGAAGTTCTCAGGTGCGAAACGAGTAAATAACGGCGATTCGCGCGGGATCTTGAGTAACACGACCGAGCCCGCGGTCGTCTCACATAGGCCATCCAGGGCTGGGAGCAAAGATGGTGTCCAGCCACCACACGCCAGTATAGTCAGCTTGGCGTGGTGTGCCCTGCCGTCGCGGGTCTTGATCCCGATAACCTTCTTACCCTCGTAGATCAGCGAGACAAGAGCACCAGCTTGCGGGTCTAATACAAACTTGACGCCTTGGCTTGCCGCCTTATGCAACGCAAACCGGCAGGCCTTGTCAGCCACGGCCATACCTCCCGTCGTGTCAAGGACACCGGCCGCGTTGAGACCTCTTTGCAAACGGCGGAACGGGTCCATCCCAAAAGACCATCCTTTTTCAGCAGCAATTTTCTGATGTTGCTCGTCAATGGTGATTAGCTGAGTGTTCCGATGCCCTGCTGCTTCCATGTTGTCCACGGTGTCCTGCTCGAATTGGGGTAGAGATGCCGAGTCTGAAAGTGACAGGTTGCCGTTATTGACAAATACGCGATCGTCGGTGGTTAGGCCCGGTGGGACTGTCTTCCCACTTGCCAGCTCCTTGTTCCAAGCGGTCCAGCCCTCTAGCGCCTCAATGGTCAAGCCCTGGTACTCTGTTTGTGCGCCATAAGCAGATCTGATGATTTTGTTCATGTCTGGAACGTACGTTAGCATTGTGCCAACTACACTAACAATGATAAGGTTTGTTACCTGCAGGTGCTCCATCGGCGCCTTTAAAATACGAATACAGACTTTCGTGGTAAGGCTGTTTGTCATAAACGGTGACGTTCTTGTATCCCCGGCGAGACAAGTGCACTGCGGTGCTAAGGCCAAAGATGCCGGCCCCGACGATGATGACCGCATCTTCCTTGCTAGGTGAGCGTGCCATGGTTTCGGGCCGCGCTACTACATGTATGGCTGAACAGAGCTGAAGAAGAATGCAGCGTTCTCGGGAGTTTTAGCCTCAAGATGTTCCAGAAGCTCTGGCCAGGTTTCGGAGAGGAGTCCGAAATGATCGTGTGTGCTTCGGTAGCGTGCCGTTAAACTTTATGCAACGAGGCCGACAAGTAAAAGATGGGAACACCAGCTCTGTGGAACGGCGTTTAACGGCCTTTTTCTCTTGGATCGAGCAAACTAGTCGGGTGCCGATAGGTCGGATGGTATGATGTTTCGGCAAACGCCGTGGCAACGCTGCCGGCCGGGTCGGGGCTAGAAGAAAGTGCGGGGAGCTAAAGTCGCTACGGCGCCTGGATCGTTGAGCAACAGCCTTAACTGAGCGAGTCAACAAATGCGTCACAATTTGTTAGAGCCTTGTGACAGATGTGAATGAAATCAGGTTGGCAATGATTGGTGATCCGGTAGGAGTACGGATGGGACAAGAAGCCGTTACATATCAGTAATTGTGCAACCAAGCCAATCAGACAATTGTCTGCCCCGGTTGCCGTCGCTATCAAAGATACATTCTCTTTCAACGGAGCCCGTTCCCACCGGCAGTCCCATGGGCCCTTCCCCCGCCGCGCGGTCTTTGGTCCGGTCCCGGCAGCTGATAACCTCCTAGTTTGCATGGCTCGGTGACCCCGCTCTCGTCATTTCGCAGAGTGCCGCAGACATGGACACCCTTGCTCGGATTGTCCCGGATAATGGTCCAGGATTGTGGTTGGCAAGCTAGTGCAACTCCCATCAGGACCTGCGACTGTCAACCTACCTTAGCCCGATACGGGTTGCGCTAGGGGGGTCGAGGAAGAATCCTATCTCAGAGCACTTCTTGACGATGAGCCATCGGGTCAGGTTGACAAACGGACTGGAAACCCCCGCGCAGTGTGGTTTACCCCGGATCTTGAGCTTGCAGGGACCACGACCCTGCTGATTGGGACTCCTTGGTCAGCAAGTGAGGCATGCTCGAGGCAGGGGAGGGGTTGAGCCAGAACAGACGTCTCTTTCTCGCATCTTGGCTCTGATAACGTCCAGCTGATGCATACCGAGCCAACAGACATGCAATCGGATTGACTTATAGATATCCATTGGGACTCCTCCCTGTCCGATGATACTTTGCAGGACTCAACGACGCAACGCGCAACTCCTTTGGTTCATCTAAACTCTCGCTTGCTGCTAAAGATTTGGTCTGCTCACCACGATCCCGACAAGGTTGTCGTGCCAATTGTGCAGACGAGTGCCGAATCGCCGGTCCATTACTTGAACTCAAGAAGAACACCGCGTCGTCCTCGGTAAGATGGGTGTCAAGCAAGTCTTCACCGAGTCGACCTTCGCCAAGTACATCTCAGCAATAAGGGAGTCGCCTCGAGAACTGATCTCGAACCGAAAGCTTTTGCTCACCGCCGCTCTCTATGCCACGAGCGGCATTCCCATCAGTAAGAAGACCTCATCCATCATCGTTGCCACCTACGAGGTACGCCGGCTAACCTCGACACTGTAGCATGGGACCAAGGCTCGTCCTCGGTGGTGCCGTCCCTTCCCGGGTTCCAGAAGGACTTCGGAATTACCTCGGCCACGAACCCAACTCAAGTCTCCAACTTCATCTCTTTCGTCTATATTGGCGCTGGCATCGGTGCCGGCCTGTCATTCTTTCTCAATGACCGCATTGGACGCATGTGGTCTTATCGCTTCTATATGACCATCTGGATCATCGGACAAATCATTGCGACTGTGTCGATGGGTAATATCGGCGCCCTTTACTTTGCTCGTATCGTCTCAGGCATGGGTATCGGTGCCCTAACAGTCACTGGACCTGTCAGCATCGTCGAGATTGCCCCTACCGAGATTCGTGGTCTCCTGGCAGTATGGTTCAGCGTTGCCATGCTGCTTTCCTTGACTGTATCGGTCTTCATCGTCTACGCCTGCTTCATTCATGTCGCCGTCGGCAGACTTCAGTATCAGATTGTCTTCTTCTCTCCGACTATCGTCATGGCCATCCTCATCGCGGCAAGCTTCCTACTTTACGAAAGTCCTCGCTGGCTGTTCATTGCTAGACGGGACGATGAGGGCATCCGAAATTTGACGGCTCTCCGAGGGCTGCCAGTTGATCACCCCCGCGTGGCGACTGAGATCGAAGACATCAAGGACCAGATCGCCAAAGAGGAGGAGAAATTCGGACGCAGCCCCGGCTTTATCGTCTTGGTGAAAGATGCCTTCCTGGTCCCCTCCAATTTGCGTCGTGTGCAGCAAGCCGTTCTATCGTACGCTCTCGCTCAACTTTCTGGAGCAAACAGCGTCACATCCTACCTCGTTCCTATTTTGAGCATGCTCGGACTTGGTGGCGGTACTGCTCGAAGCTTGTTCCTCAGCGGCATGTATAGCATGGCCAAGTTCTTCTTCACTCTGATTGCCAGTTTCTTCTTCATCGATGCCCTCGGTCGCCGTCGCAGTCTGTTCACTGGTATCACTATCCAGATGATCTCTGATTTGTACATCGGTATCTTTATCAAGTACCGCCAGGAGGGCAACGTTGCACCGGGATCTAGCGAAGCTGCTATCGCCGCTGTCTTCATTCACGGATTCGGATACGCCGTCGGTGAGTAGACTGAAGATGTATGTCAGGTCAAATGAAGCAACTTTCTAATACTTCTACAGGCCTCCTCGTCTTGCCTTATGTCTTTGGTGCTGAGCTATGGCCCAACCACCTCCGCTCTTTCGGCAGCGCTTTTGCACAATTCTTTCACTGGCTGTTCTTCTTCGGAGTCAACAAGGGCATGCCCTCACTGCTCAGTCAGACTCACAACTGGGGTGCCTTCATTTTCTTTGCAGGATGGTGTTTCCTCTCGTTGATCTACGTCTACTGCGTTGTACCTGAAACATCTCTGCAGAGCTTGGAGCAACTGGACGAGCTCTTCAAAGGGCCTTGGTGGAACGTCAGCCGCAGAGCCAAACAACTAAAGCAGCAAGCTCGAGAGCAGGATGCAATCATTGAAGCACAGGAGTCAGTGTTAGTTCCCCAACTTCGTAAAGCTTGAGTGCAAAGCCGGAAGCTAACGTCGATTCACATGCAGAAGCGATCAGAACAGCGAGCCCGAATCCAGTATTGAGAAGAACGGCGCGCGTGCAGTCAGCCAGAAGGTTCGATCAGACGCATAAATAGAGGCAGGCTTGAAGGAACGGGGAGATCGGGCTTGAGCAAGCCGTTGTCGCATTTCATAGGCGGCCGCTAAGCCCATAACAGTGACTAGATCTTACATTGAGGTACCTAGGCTTCAATTGATAAAGCAATGTTTGAATTGTTGTCCTCGATTCCGAAAAAGCCAGGCGGCTTTTACGTGTTTCGTTCGTGCAATTTTCGTCTTCATCTCGTCGAAAATCGGTTGACACTTGAGAGGAACATTGTTCATATCCCTTTTTCCCAATGAGCATGCTCCTACGTGTCCTGGCTTGAGTAGCTACTTAAATAGGCGCAGGATTTGAAAAATGCACTAATCATACTAAGCTCGAGAAAACAGGATAAGTTGCGAGTTAATATGCCTCTTTCTGAGCTTCAGTTAGCTGAGATGTAAAATCATGGCTGTTGTCACCTCATGGAGTTTTGAAGTAAGCTTATGGTATTACAACTGTTTGAAGCATTGTTGAGTCGACGCAGATGTGTTCCAAGTGTACATGTATAATGCTAATGCTTTATACTAGTAGATGATTTCCTTCAGCCCCTAGCCTTTCTCAAGGTAAAACTTCCCACCAAAACTACGCGCTCACTTGGCCAAAGCCTTTGCTTTCCTTTCGTGAATGTCGATGACAGGAGAATTCGGCTTCCCACTCTTGAACAAAGCTCGGATATTCTCAAAACATTCCCTCTCGGCCTTCTGAAAAGCCATATCTGTGAGACCACCAAGATGAGGTTGCGCAATAACGTTGTCGTGCTGCACCAAAGCCATGTCAGGCTTGGGCTCGTCACAGAAGACGTCGAGACCAGCGCGCGCCACCTTTCCAGACTCGAGGGCATCCTTGAGAGCCACCTCATTAATGACTGGTCCGCGGGCAGTGTTAACGATAAAGACACCGTCTTTCATCGCTGCGAACTCCGCGGGGCCGATCAGGCCAGTCGTTTTGTCGTTGAGCGGGCAGTTGAGTGACACGATGTCGGACTTCCCAAGCAGATCCTCCAGTGTTGGAGAGTATACCGCATTATACTTTGACTCCTCTTCCGCGGGAAGCTGGTGGCGGTTGTGGTATCTGATCTTGAGGTTGAAGACGGCTGCTTTCTTTGCGAGGTACTGCGCGGTCACGACGTTAGCTTGTTCACCTTGCCATGCAACGTCAACATGATTGACTTGAACCAGACCTGAACGTACCTTGCCAATGGCCCCCATCCCGACGATGCCCAAAGTCAAGCCGGATGGATCTCTCCCAGGGACGAGCCCCGAAACCGCTCTCCACGTGCCGGCCTTTGCGCTCTTCTCGGCATTGCTTGTGTTGCGCAGAACAGCCAGCGTCAGGAACAAGGCCATATCCGCCGTCGCTTCAGCCACAGCGTCGACCGTGTTGCAGAACCAAATGCCCTCCGAGGCCATCCACTCCACGTCAAACTCGTTGTATCCAGCGCTGGCGGACGTGATGATTTTGCAATTCGGCGCCAGTGCGCTCAGGAGACCCTGATCGAAAGGCTCGTACGGCGGCGTGCCCATGCGGATGATGAACGCATCGATGGGTCCGTTCTTCTCGATATCCTCCGGCAGCATGGCTATCGTTTCCGCGCGGTCTGTGGCTTCGAGAACAGAGTAGTTAAACTCAGTCTTGAAGTCAGCGAGATAATCGTCGGCGACATATTTTGGGGTGCCGAGTGCTACGACACGAGGCTTTCTTGAGCCCAAGTCATCTGTCCGTGATGGCGCCATGATTTTAGATAACGTTTTCCTCCCAACAGCAGAGTAATAGTTGCGGTAAGACAGCAAGTTGTTGGGTATAGTAGAGCAATCGTGGAGTCTATAGATTCCAGGAGAAAGAAATACGCAGCGTGTCAGACAAGCAGTTGACCGAAGAAGCCATGTCATTTAGCCGCAATGCCGCTGGCTGCTTTTGAATGAACATTGGAAATTGCCCGCATTATCCCACAATTACCGGAGTTATTGCCCGTCAGTGACAAACAGAAATTCCTCAGCTATCAAACCCCGCCGACAAATCAACTCAACTATTACTCCCGGCTTTTTTCCGGTGCGGATCCGAATCACGGAGGGGGTTTCTGGGGAGGTCGGATTCTCCCGAGCGGCAGGGGACCCCACTCGGGAGGATCCGATTCCGGGGGGGACCTTAGACGTTTGTCCTAACAATTTCCTCCCCTTCGGTGATCAGTTTACATACGAACTGCGGGGTAACTCTGAAGCATTTGCAATTGGGCGATTGTGCGGCTAATCGATTGAAGAGCATATCAGAGATCCTCCTTAGGTACAGAGTAAATCAAGTCTTATCGCCCTTGCCCGTGTGGTTGCAGACAGAATCTTGACGAGCATCGGCAACTCAGGAGCCTTCCACGGCAGTTTCAGACGCGGCAAACGCTTAAAGGGAGCAGTGCTGTTAATAGAGCGAGAACTATCCGAATAGCTCGTCAACCTCTTGAATTAAACGAGTAGTAAGATTATACTTCAACATGGCTGAAGCTATACAAAGTCTCCCACCGCTTGGTTTCATTGCCATAGAAGTCAATATTCACCGACCACCAGGCGATCCCTACAATGATCGGACCTGGCCGTTTCCTCTCATCCGTGAAATGGCAGAGGGATCAAAAGTTTCACAAGTCGTCACCTCTTCAAGTTATGACTCTGCATTCACAGACCGTTTTGTAGATGCCGGTCTACGTCTAGCGGCTAGAGGCTGCGTGGGTATCATCACTAGTTGCGGTTTCCTAGCACTAGCCCAGGCCGAGTGAGTAAAATGCCGACTTCATTTGCCGCCAACTCAACTCCAAGGAGGAAGCCGAAGACTGATTTGTGATTGAAACAGACTTGCCGCAAGATTGCCCATCCCAATCGCAACATCATCGCTGGCTCAACTGCCTTCCATCCTACCTCTGCTTCCGCCGGGCAATAGCGTTGGGATTCTGACCTACGATGAATCAAGATTAGGCTCGCAACACCTTACGAACTTTGTGCCCGAGCAGTCGCTTCCCAAAATCATCGTCCGTGGTGTACCTGCAGAAGGACATCTGAGAGGGACAATCGGAAAGGGTGCTCCGTACGTCCACGAAGATATTGAGGCAGAACTCGTCGCTGTTGCAAGAGACTTTGTGGCTAGTCGGCCTGACATTAGAATCCTGGTACTCGAATGCACCAATATGCCATCATTCTCGGAAGCAATCTACAAAGCACTGGACGGGAAGATTCCCATCTACGATGTGTATACTATGGGACAGTGGTTCTACTCTGGATTAGTAAGACAAGCCCCGGTTCACTGGCGTGGCTAGCAACATTTGCACTACTGTCAACGTCGAAGCTTCTATAGATATCCGAGTTCATTTCAGCCTGAAAATGCTATTGTCAACAATAACCGCACAGCCTAGTAAACTAGTAGTTGTTGACTTCAACAAGATATCCTGTCCTACTGGGTACTTTGGGTCCTCGTGGCGTTGATCGTGCTTGTGTATTTGTGTCTACGGCGCATCTCTAAGGTGGAATACCTGTCGCGTGTATATCGTATGTCATTTCTAGTGCTACTAGAATACCAACGAAACCAACAGTGTGACCGTGTTTCTAGTAACTTACAGCAAGCGTCGGAGGGTTTAGTAGCTGTCATGAGGAAGTAGACTGGAATCCGAATTCTTTTGGATCTTAGTTTATATTATTGGAATTTTTGAGCAAAGTCAGCTAAGAAGCTCTCGACCTTGTACCCCTGCTCCCCAATTCCCCAGACATTGACTAACCCTGGATTGTACTTATACTCATCAGTGTTGGCATCCTCCCAATTCCACTGCGTCGATTTATCGCCCCCATTATTGACTAACAAGACCACCTCCTGCCCGGCAACCAGCATCCCGAACTTTCTGCCTTTGAACGAGTGATGAGAGGCCAGAGACGAGATGTAGCCGCTGGCCTGGTCGATATACGTCTGCTTGATGGAATCGCCGGGCGTTTTGCCCTCGAGGGTGAAGATGGGGTCCCAGCAGAGATTGTCGTTTTTGTCGTTGTGCATGACGAAGACCATCAGGTCGGCACGGCCGGTCTGGTTGTTCTGCTCCGGGGCGATGATGAACTTGTCCGGGAGAAAGTAATTCTGAAGGACCTGGAGCCACACACCATTGGAGACGGCCTCGCTTATGGTGTTGCTCGTCAGTGCAGTCATCATCCTGGCGTCTGTGCCAATGACCGCTGCGGTCGGCATGTTGACTCGGGTTTATGATGGGCAAGTGATTGCATTGTGATTCGGAGGGTAGATGGTTGGAGAGGGTTCTTCCAGATCAATGTGTCTTTCTAATGATTACGATTTTATAGGGAGCCTCAGGATTTCTTTAAGACATAGTTGTTACCTGTAGTAGGACACGTGCACGATGAGGGGTCTTACAAGGCACGAATGCGGTTCGCTAGCTATTCACCGCTGGGGGGCATTCGAACCTTCAGTTCAGCTATCCACAGTCCGAAGTACACACTGTAGTTGCACAATCGAAAATTGGCAGTCATAGCTGCTTTCAACCTTGGCCAAGTGGCCTGATTTATATCACATTTCTCGCCGCCGCCACCATGCCGATATCAACGAAGTTGGCAAGATCTTCACCGCGTCAGCTAGCCACAACCGATATATCTGACCGGCTTGAGGGAGCAGCGTGCGTATGCAGAATAGTCTTCGAGACATTGTCCTCTCTAGGTTCAATGTTCGGAGGGCGGATGTGTCCAACGCGACGCTGCATTCCTTTCCGATGAGATTCATTCGAAATCCATACATCCGCATAGCAATCTTGTCTCATTTGCGGCTGATTTCAGGCTGCGCACTACGTATCCAAGCCTGTCCCGTTTGCAGGAGGTGTGAGAGTGTAAGACAACGGTCACTCCCGGGGGGTGTAGTTGATTCCTACTATTCAGCCGCTGTCTTGGCAGTTCAGCTGTGGCTGAGGACCTTGAGGCGCTGGGAACGGGAATAGGGAGGATGATGAACAGTCATGCAGCAATCACCGTCCCGTTGAGAAAGCTGATGGGAAGGACTTTGCTTCTCTTTCATTGTTTTAAGACAAATCCACCTAAACAGTCTCATAACAAAAAGTCACCTCCTGATTCCTTCAGAATCAACTGATACTCTGGCACAAACTGCATGTACATGACTTCAGGTGTACCAGTGCCATCCTTTGTGTACTGTGCTTCCTCCTCGCCGACAAACGTCTTCTTCAATCCACCGGCAGCACCATTGGTTCCAGGAGCAACAGCCTGCTCAACGAGGAACTGAGACTGGCAGCAACGCTCGAGGGCGATGAAGAAGGCAGCTGCCTCGGCCACAGTCCCGCCGGCGGTGAGCAGTCCATGATTCTGAAGGATGATATTCTTGTTGATGAGACCGAGGGCGTCGGCAATGTGCTCGCCCTCTTCTTTTGCAAGTACGACGCCGCCGAACCCCTCATAAACTGAGAGGTCGTTGTAGAACATGCACGAGTCTTTTCAATGGTATGGTTAGTATTATAGAGTAGAATCACTACACGACTGGTTTACTGGGCTGTGACCAACCTTGGTTAAGCATGTCGATTGGACGTCCGAAGGTGCTCCACGCCCGGCCATACGGGCTGTGCATGTGGCAGGCAGCATTGATATCCGGCCTCCTCTTGTGGAGAACGGAGTGAATGGTGAAGCCCGCGGTATTAACCGGCTTATCGGCACCGCCGATACGGTTGCCGTCCTCATCAATGTGGACCATGTCCGACACCTTTAACACACCAAAGTGCACTCCATACGGGTTGATCCAGAACGTGTCCGGCCTGATAGGATCTTGCAGGAGCTCTTAGCGCGGTCCCTCGCATGTGCTGCTTCAATGTATGTTGCGTTGAAAGCACAAAGGGAAGAATGCATACCTCGCAGGCTGATGTGCCCACTGCTGCCATCAGAGAAGCCCAACTTTGCAAAGATGCGAAACGCGGCTGCCATCTGCTCCAGCTGCCATTTCTGGGCGGCTTCTTTGGATTCAGGAACCGGGATTTGGTGTAGGCGCTTGACCTTGCCGCTACCCGCCTTGCCCGAGTCCAGCGCCGAACCGAGCGACGTCGGCGTCGGTGCCGGTGGTGCGGGTGCGGGTGCGGATGCTGTGATTGTTGTGGTAGTTGACATGGTGGGCGATGCGGTTTTTGCTCCCAACTGTGATATGCCGTCAACGGGAGGTGTCCTTGCTCTTGCACAGCTGCGTCTTCTTATCAACCTAACATACGAGATTGTCTCTCGCTTGGTGCCTTTCGTGGAATGAAATCGTTGAGTCAGTCAGCAGTGGGATACCGAATGGCGGTTACTCCGCATGAGTTGTCAGTTGATGGAGGTAGCGGATAAGCACAACACAAATGTCGCCATCACTCGGAAACCTCCGACCCTGGCGGTTGGAGACGGTTCATGCCCGACTGATAGCCCCTCCTTGCTTCCGATCCACCTTTCGGCAACATGACGGCCTGCCGGCACCCCACCGCCCCATACCCGAAGCCACATAATGCTCTTCAGTGACATCTTATCGGTAGTCTCCGGTGTAAGCCGGACGACGGAGTTGATGACCTCGGCCATGTTTACGAAAGCAAGTCGTCTGACGGGTTTTGGGACATGTTCCTCGTCAACTTTGAAGGATTCAGACTAATTGTTTTCGCATTGCTCCCGGGAGTAACCAGGAGACCTGGCTCTATGATAGTGTTTCCTTCCGAAGACATCGTGTGACCCAAACTCACTTACTTGTTTGACCCTAGTCTGCCTTTGTGTTTAATAATACATGATATCTACGAGTTTCCCTCTGAGCTTGAACTCTCTATTATGGACTAGCTCTAGAGCTTGGTCTTACTGATACTCCTACCCGAACCTCAATCTTATCGCATCACTCTTATCTTGACCTACAACTCCTTAGCTATCCTCTTGAAGAGATCAGCGTCTCTATAGCTTTGAACAACAAGCAACTCATCACCAAACACAATCATGTCGACCAGCCTTCTATCCACGCACCGGTCAGGTCCCCCGGGCCATCCGGCACCCGACGCCAACTACGTCCACGCCGACACCCTCCGCACAACCTTTGCCCTCGCCATGTCCGCCATGTACAAGGCCGAAGTGCCCCTCTACGGCGACCTCATCCAAATCGTCCAAACCATCAACAAAGAATCCCAAACCAAAAAGCGCCACGGGCCGGATGGCCACGTCTCGGGTTCCGCAACAATGGAAGCCAGCATCGAGCGCCTAACCCTCGAGCGGCACGGCGCAATCCGCCTCGGCACCCCGCAAGAACTCCACACCGTCCGCCGCATCTTCGCCCTCCTCGGCATGCACCCAGTCGGCTACTACGATCTCTCCGTCGCCGGTCTGCCCATGCACGCGACCTGCTTCCGCCCGACCTCGACGCAGTCTCTGGAACGGAACCCCTTTCGCGTCTTCACCACGCTGCTCCGGCCCGAGCTGCTCAAATCCGGGAGGGCGCGGGCGGTCGCCCTGGAGCTATTGGCGAGACGTAACATCTTTAGCGATGCCCTTTTGGAGCTTTTGGGCACGGCCGAGGAGGTTCAGGATGGTCGGCTGACGACGGAGCAAGGGGAGCGGTTTGTGGTTGAGGCGATTCGTACATTCAGCTGGCAGCCCCTGGCGGCGGCTACACATGAAGAATACGCTCTCTTGCGGAGCGAGCATCCCATCTTGGCGGATATTGCGTGCTTCCGCTCGTCGCATATTAATCACCTCACGCCGAGGGCTCTGGATATCAATGCCGCACAGGAGGCTATGCTCGCCGCAGGCATGGCGGTTAAGAGCCGGATCGAGGGCCCGCCGGTGCGCAAGTGTCCGATCCTACTGCGCCAGACAAGTTTCCTTGCGCTCCAGGAAGGTATTCGATTCTCTGTATCGGGGAGAGATGAATTCGTCGATGGCTTCCACAAGGCAAGATTTGGTGAAATTGAGGAGAGGGGAGCTGCCGTTACGCCTGCAGGTAGAAAGCTGTATGACAAGCTTCTGGAAGAGGCCATGGCCACGGCACAAGAAACAGGGGCGTCTTCTGATTCGAAAGCTGTGGACGAGACTTTTTCCAAGGTCTTTGAGAAGTTTCCCGATGACTGGGACGAGCTGCGGCGACAAGGCCTCGTGTACTCGGAATATCGGTGCACAGAAAACGCCAAAGAGAAGCTGCAAAGCTTAGCAAGTCTCGACACAGCGGATCCGGCATCTCTCTTGGATCGATTGGTTTCCGAGGGCGTGCTTGAGGCGGTGCCTTTCACGTATGAAGACTTTTTACCATTTTCGGCAGCCGGGATCTTTCAGTCAAACATCCAGTCCGGGGCCAGCTCAAGCGAGTCTACGATAGGCCACGAGGAGTCGATACGACCTGATGTGAAGGGGTACGAGAAGGCTTTGGCGAGAGACATTCTTGATGCAAACGATTTATATGCGCAGGCTCAGATGGAGAGTTTGCAGACCTGCGCTAGGGAACTTGGTTTGAGCTTAGATGTGGTTCCACGACTTTGACAATCATTAAGGTCTGAAGGGATGCTGAGCGGATAAGTGATTCCAGTTATATGTTTTTGTTTGCCAGAACGGCTGTGTTGCACTTCACTTGGTATTTTGGAGACTCGTAGTATTTGTTGGAAGTTGAATAACTTCATTTTGTCTAGCCGGCGTTTTATAGCCCCCTAATTATTATCACAACCTCATTCATCATAAATCATGGTATCTGTTCCAACGTATCAGCCGTAATAGCTAATAATCCCGAACACCTTGAAGCAACTCTTGCACCAGCCACTCAGACTCTTGCGGAATCGACAAGTCATCCAACCCCATAATCCAATCCTGCATCGACGGCGCCGCACCACCACCACCAAAAGCAGCATGCATATCCGCCCCCGGGCCCGGCCCAATGGCCGGCAACGAAGCATTATGACTAGGCGCCGGCTTCTGCCCGTCATTGCACACCATGCTAATCGTCCGCTGCGACAGCGCCTCAAAGATATCCCGGTACGACGTCGCCAGGTTCCACCGCTCGGCAATGATGATGAGGACAGTGGTGCACGCCATGCATGTCGTGACGACGTCGGCCTGCCTCGTCGAGTCCCGGACGCGCTTGGAGCGCCACAGGCAGTAGAGGTACGTCAGCCCGCCGAGGAAGAGGATGTGCAGGCTGCCCCATGTGAACTGGACCGAGGAGGACTGGTAGACGCGGCGGTAAAGCATGCACATCTCTCGCGCGCGCAGCGCGCACTCTTCTAGCACCCGCTCTGTGGCTTCGTTATCGTTGAGGTTTCCTCCGTGGCTGGCGCTGCCGGCGGCGCCGCCGCCGTCTGGCGTTGGGTGGTTTGCGGTTGATCCGCCCATCATATAGTGGCGGTAGAGCAGTAGGATCGAGTGGTCGTAGGCGAGCTGGAACCAGGAGCGGGAGGTGAAGACGGATAGTGGGTGCGCTCTCGAATAATTCAGCTGATCGGGGGTCTTTGCGCGCCATTCTTCTAGTTCTTGCCGTAGACTCTCGATGGTCGCTGTGTGTCCACAGCCGCACCGTCGAGTTGTGGGTGGATAGAGGTTGTCGCTGATCTTTGTCCATAAACGTCTTAGTTTGATGGCGTGGATGAAGCCGGTCATGAGTGTCGGTGGATCTGTGCTGGATGTGCGTGAGGCTGCCAAAAGTCCTCCCGAAGTCACGTTTTCATCATCGATATCAAGTGGCAACTGCTCTCTTTGTTAGAATATCATAGAGAGAACCCGCTGCTGCGGTGTTTGGCAGTGTGGAAATCTTACCTCGACGTCAATCGAGTCATCTGGAATACCAACTGGGCGACCCAGTGTAAAGGCAACTACCCTGTCAATGTCATACGCAACCCAGAAACATCTCTTGGACATCTCTTTTGTCAGTGCATCTGTATTCTTGTGGTATCTTTCGGCACTCCGGTGGTAGCCGAGCTCAATGCAATGACGTATAGCCATGCCAGAGACTTTCCTAAGGGATAGTCAGACTAGCCCCAGAAAATCGAGTAGACCAGTGACTTACCACAGGCTTACGCCAACAGGAGATCTGATTGAATACACGGCACAAGCTAATATTGCTTGAATAGACTCGAGGCTATCGAGATCCAGAACTGCTGAGATGTGATCCAAGGCCATAGAGTAATAAGCCTGCCGTCTCCTACGTTAACACTGTTCGCGACTTACTACACCAATTCCACGAAAGGGTAAATCATACCTCAGCAGCATCATAATGACTTTGACCAAGAACTAAAGACCCTATTGAGTAGACCTATAAGTCTTGTTAGAGCACTGTCGGACAACGGACAGGCATGTCCTGAAGTTTCCAGTGTCTTAGCTTACCATTAGGACGAAGAAGAGTGTCGACCCGTTGACGCGACTCAAATCTCCGTCGAGACTTGCTTTCAGGCAGGTCTCTTCCCAAATCTGGAACGTCGGCTTGTGAAGAAATGGGTACTGAGGGTGTATGTTGTTAAAGTACGCCTCCGACAAGTTTGCCCTCAGAGTCGGCGACGGTAATCTCAACGGGACCTCTCGAACAACCTCGGGGCTGATATCTTTCCCCGGCCCTGCATGGCTATGTTGTGAGCTCCCGCCAGTGCTGGCAAGGCCCATGGTAGCGCTGACGATGCGCGAGAAGGAGACAGCAGACGAAGGACCGAAGTAATGCGGCTCTCGGCCAGCCGCACTGAGACAGAGCAGCGCAACCTCTGACGACAAGGTATCGACATGATGATCTTCGGCATCTACCGAAGGCGCACGCAGCGGCCGAGAGAAGTCCACATCTTCGAATGAGGAGTGGTGCGCCTGGAGGTTCGGGGTGAGAGCAGACGGCATGTGCATGATGGACATTGCCTGCGTAGGGCCGCCGTTGTGCGAAGAGGCGGCGGCGGCGGCGTGCTGGTCTGCTTCGCGACCACGGCCACCACCCTCGTTGTTGACACCGAAGTGATCGAGAGCGACCTCAGGACGGGCCTGCTGTAAGAGACCTTCCAGATAGGCAACGCGTGCCTCCAGCGACTTCATATAGTCGCGCGGGCGGTGCAAGCCGGTGCCGGGGTCTTCCACGAGGCAGTCTGGTTTCCCCACATCAGCTAAAGTTCACCATGCCGTCTCATATCACTGTTGGACCTTACCTCGTCCAGTCCTCACGCAGTTCTGGCACTTGGGACTTTGTCCGTCGCACTATTAATATGAGTCAGTCTGGTTTCTCTATACACATTGAGAAGATTTGAATGTTACCTTGAGCTTCTTCTGCTTACAGCCGATGCAGGCCAACATGGTACGCTCGCCGAGTCGCGGGCGTTTAGCCTGATGGGTGTTGCCGGTTCTTTGAACACTCATTGTGAGGGGATGGGAGAAGAGATCAGTGCGTTCTTGACAAGATGGAAACAAGGGGAATTGCCCAACGGCGCGGAACCGCCGATCTGCGCAGTGGGGGCCTTGAGAGTCAGATATCGCAATCCTTTGAAAGCATGTAAACGAGCATGGAGACCTGTCGTCCGGGAAAGTCTGGGGTACGTTTGCCGTATGTGTCGGTAGTCCGGCAGAGTTGTTGGTTCGGACAGTAATGCACGGGGGGGGGGGGGGGGGGGGTTGCAAGGGACTTTGCGGATTGCCGGAGGGCCGCGCTACCGTTATCTCGTGCGGAGACTGTGGGAACAAGTTAGCACGTATCGTTCGGAAAGTTCCTGTTCCCCCTGGCGGTGCCTGGATTGCATTAGTTTTGCGTTGTAAGTACATCTGTTAGTGCACAGAGACGTCAAGTTTCGGCCGGGAACGGTTGGTTTCCGGCATCGGAGGCCAGGCCGGGACGCATGTCAATGTCTGTACACCTTAGCAACTTGTTACTCTGTATTGACAATCAGTTGGCTTTATCAATGTCTATCCTGTGATTGAGTACTCGTAAGTGAAGAAACTCCCTTGCTTTAATCGCAAAGCGGGACTGGGTGAAATGGTCCTTTCACTCACCCATCTGTCAACGTCCATCAAGGGACCAGCTCGACTCCACAGAACCCAGTGGGTCTTAGTCAACTTGCGCTTCTGTCTCTTCAACTTCCACAGTCTCTATGGCTCAGTCGGTAGAGCGTTGGTCTCATATCCATACATATGACTCTAGATCATCTAGAGATATCCAAAGGTCGCAAGTTCGAGCCTTGCTAGGGACAGTTTCTTTTTCTTTTGCTACTACAGCTTGCTATCATGATCTTCCGCCAAGCTCAACTCTCTGTTGACATTATTCGGTCGTTGGTTGTTGACTCGCTTACCGTGTAAAATTGTGTGTGAGATAGAGAATAAGGAGAGCTTTTGACCTCAATCAACTACATGGATGGATACTGAACTGATTTAGAGATGATATCCCAGAGTCAATATCACTAGTCCAGGGAGCATCGATCCCTCCTCATCTTTTGCTTTTCTGTCTAGTCTCTTGAGCGTTAAACAGCGAATTGGGTTCCGACTGGCTCTTGCTTTCTTTCCACTCACCACCATTTGCGCGGAGCCATGTTCCTTGGGCCGAGTCGACCAGCGATAAAAATAGCAACCACCCCCCAACCCCGACTTCAACGGACTGAGCCGCCGTCTTACCAGTCCAAACCACGACTCAGAACCTCCAACCCGCTAAACAGCACCACATATTGCACGCAATGCACTGTAACAGACCCAAATCCTACAACGCAGCGACATGTTCTGGTTGCACAACACCATCGTCCAACTTCGAAAGAAACCACCGATATCATCCAAATGCACCCAAGATCAATCGTCCGGATAACTCGGAATGCTGCTAAGCCCTCGGTTACGCAGCGATGGGGCTACAAATGGTTTGATCGATCGCCAAGTCTTGAGAGCTTTCGCCATCCCACACGTGTCATTTAACTGGAGCTTCTTGTACGGCGTATCCGTAGATGCAGCGGGCGCACGCGTCAACTACTGAAAGTGAGTGAGTTTTGACGGGGGGGAGGGGGGAGGACTCAACTCACTCAAAACACCAAAACCGCAAAACACACAAATCATGAGGAAATTCTTCAGGGAAGCAAAGCAAAAGATCGAGGCCGAGATCGCCTCCATCACCGGCGACGATGAACCCCAACAGCAGCAACAGCAGCATTACCCCCCTCAACCACCGCATCAGGGGTTCGAGCGAGCGGTATTTGCTCACTTCATGGTTCGTCACCATCCCCACGGGGACGCGGGAGAGGCCTCCCACCGCAAATGAAAGATGCCAATTCCAGTCACTGACGCACGATTACCCCCCAGCTGAGCAATACGTGTGAATACACCGTCGACGAATACAAAGTCGACATCGGCCTAGCCCAGCAAGCGCACATTGACGCCTTTGTCCTCAACTTTGGCATCCACGAGGAAGCCATCGTCAAGCTCCCCGACATCTTTGCCGCGGCGGAGCAGACGGGCTTTAAGCTGCTCTTATCCTTTGATTATGAAGGCGCAGGAGCATGGCCCAAGGAGCGCGTAATCGAAATCGTCAGCAGAGTGAGTCTTTTCTCTCTCTCATCTCCCAACATCACAGCTTTCATGAAGTTCACCATGCTAACACTCTTGAACAGTTCGGCCCCTCACCAGCCTACTTCAGACGAGGCCATCAACCCATCGTCTCAACGTTCGAAGGCGTCGGTAACGCAGCCGACTGGCATGAGATCAAGGCCGCGACGAACTGCTTCTTCATCCCCTCCTTTTCTTCCATCGGCGCCGACAACGCCCTCAAGACGGGCGTCACCGACGGCCTCTTCAGCTGGGCTGCCTGGCCCCACGGCAACGCGCGCAAGATGGACGAGGGGCTCGACGCATCGTACCGGCACGCCCTCGGCCCCCACCGGCCCTACATGGTCGCCGTATCCCCCTGGTTCTACACTAACCTGCCCACCTGGAACAAGAACTGGGCGTGGAAGGGGGATGATTTGTGGAATGACCGGTGGAATGAGATTCTGGCCATGAGGCCTGAATATGTGCAGATTGTACGTTATCCCACCTGCTCGTGATGAAAAATCATCCATCGATTTCTAACCACAAACATAGCTCACCTGGAACGACTTTGGCGAATCGCACTACATTGGCCCCCTCCACCCAAAACAGTTCGGCGCCTTCGAATACGGCCAGGCCCCCTTCAACTACGTCCTCGACATGCCCCACGACGGTTGGCGCCTCCTCCTCCCCTTCCTCATCGACCTTTACAAATACGGCACGGCCACCGTCCGCCGCGAGGGACTCGTCACCTGGTACCGCCTCCACCCGGGCCACGCAGGCGACGCCGGCGGCACCACGGGCAACACGAGCTCCCACGGCCAGGAGCTCTTCCACCCGTCCGAGATCATGGAGGACAAGATTGTCTTCTCGGCGCTGCTGACGGGTCCCGCGCAGGTCACGGTCAGCGTGGGCGGGGTTGCGGAGGAGGCCGGGTGGGATGATGATGGGGTTCCTCGGGGGGGTGTCGGTGTGTATCATGGGAGTGCGCCGTTTAATGGTCGGACTGGTGAGGTTGTCGTGACTGTGCACCGCGGTGGAGATGTTGCTGCGCAGGTGCAGGGGCGGCCTATTACGACCGAATGCCATCATGGAGGAATGAATAATTGGAACGCGTGGGTTGGCGCTGCCAACTCTCATGTGGAAACATATGCCGTTGCGCATCTGGGGTAGGCTAGCAACCAATGGAGAAACCGTGTAGTCCATCCAGTTGTTGACTTCGGGGCCCATCCGACGTGACGAGTGTAGATGCAAGGGAAACGCTGAGGTGGAGAGAGAGTTGCGATGACAGGCACAGTAAAACACATATTCGTGGTTCAGAGTCTTTTAGGTTTCCACACACACGTGGTGTGCGACCAGGTATTATTCACAAACAGACCCTGAAAAAAGAAGAGCTGCATCTGCTGCGCTGTGTCGCCGTGCAGATGAGGGGGGATCCTACAGATACATATCCAGAACACCATCCCGCCAACCATCCCCCGTCTGTACAAATCGCAAAAAAAGCCAGTGAAAAAGTATGGGAATCTCTAATGCAATCACATCGAGGCACCTCGTGAGAGCCTTTGTCCTGTTTGGGAGCCAAGCAGATGCTCCCCTACACTTGTGCCATCATGAAACCGGGTATTGCCATTCGCCCGTCGTCTTGTTCATGTAACCAAGTTGCTCGGCCGCTGCCGTGAAGTCCTACTCCTCGTGCACGCTGACCATGGTACCGTTACCCTTAGTAGACTTCTTGCCAAGTTTCAGCATGCTAAGCCTCTTTCTGACGCTTCCCCGTTTGACGATGCCAAGACCGTCTACAGGCCGTTCGTCCTTATACTCCCGCTCCTTCTCTGTCAAGTTTGTCCCAGCGTCTGAACTGCGCCGTCCGCCCGAGTCCGTTATCCATTCGCTGGTGGCATCGTTACTGCCCAGGATCCGCGGTACATCGCTGGACGGAGCTCGGAAGAAGCTGCTGCGACGATTTGCATTGCTTGTAATGGTCACATTGTCCTGCGTCTTGCTAAAGCTCCGGCTGCGATGGCTAATAGTATCCTCTGCTTCCGGGGTCGTTTGAGGGTCGCTGTTGGTCTGCTGCAGGACTGGAGATTCCTTCTTACGGCCTCCCAAGAAGCTCAGACGCGTCCCACGCCCTTGGCGGATGGCAACTGGCTGAACCGTCGACACTTCTTCGACAGCCCCTCCGTTCGTCATAGCACCGAGAATGCTCTGTGGTTGAGGTGATACGTGTTCAGTAGATGGCGACGACCGTCGATAAGTCGGCGAAGCATTGGCAGACTCCCGGGATGGCTGCTGAGGAGCGAAAAGGGCAATCTCGGGTGCAAAGGTGCTTTCAAAGTCTAGGGCATGTTAGCTTGCGGCGGCCACACAGGTCATCATGAGCATGACCATGGAACACTTACATCGCTGAAGTTCCTCGTGCCTTTCGTTGAGGATCTCATTCGTACTTCTGGAGAAAGTTGCCAGGCACCGCTTGATCATAATCGCATGGTCCACGAGTGCCATCTTGATCGCGTTGTCTTGAGGTTCAAGCTCAGGTTCAACATCTTCTTCCAGCATATCGGTCTCGTCATCCTCGGGTTCCGCGCGGGACGGCAGTAGTTGGCGATAGCAAGCCACACTATTTTCGGAATCTGGGTTGACCGACACACTTACTGCGTCCACGAGCAGCTGGGCGTTTTCTTCGTCGCCCTCAGTGATCCGCTTCTCAATCGCTGTCATTTCTTGCGTCTTCCTCACAATGCGCTCTAAGCCGGTTTGGCGGGCACTGAGCTTCATCTCTTCGGTGTGCACGATCTCGCTGCGGCGAAGAATTGTCGGGAATGGGTCAGCAGTGGTGAAAACCATTTTCTCCGCGAAGTGATCCTGAACATGGCCAGACGTGCTACGCTTAGACGACACTGAGAAGCTCTGAGGATGGGCGGAAACGAGATAATCGCGGATCACTTGGGCGACCCGAGCGCGCTGAAATACTTGATGTGACAGATCGCGGTGCGGCGTGATGGCGGAAACGACTAGGAACTGGCCTTCGACATCGTCGACATCGCCACCAGTGACAATCTGAGCGGATGGGTACTGCTCTTGCATACGATCCGTAAAGGCAGAGGCACGCTCTGTCGGGGAGCCTTCGTACACAAATTCCTTGTCTCGGAGGCTGGAGGGGAAGCCAAGTCCTTTATAGACGACCTTGAAATACTTGGGCACCAGCTTGTCGCTCTTCGAAATAGTCTCGTAGATTGTGGCAATCGCTCGCTCGGTCCTGGCCAGTTTGGCAAAGTCAAAGACGTTGCTCTCGTACTGAAGCCTGAGTTCCTGGTATGCAGCCAGGGCGCTAGTCCAGGCCTCGCCCTCCTCGAAGTGCTTGATCATGTCGAAGTAGATCCGTTCCTTGCGCTCGAATGAAGTTTGTATAGGGAACTCCGGGTCATCCAAAGGAGAGACCTGCTTTGTAGGGTCCCAGTCGTAAAGGTCGGCGTGCAAACGTAGGGCCAAACCAGCTTCGCAGTGGTTCCTCGCCTCGCCCTGAAGGATGGCCAACTGATGTACGTATCTGATGAATATTTCCTCCTTCTGCATGTCGCGGAGGAATTCCATCAGGCGTAATCTGTTGATGAGGTGGGATGCTTCGCTCGTGTTATCGCTGCTGTGCACGGCAACAAGAAGATCGAGGAACTCGTCTACAGTTGCCATGAGGTCGCGAATACCAGCATAAAGAGGCTCGTCGGGAACGGTCGACAACGGCGCAAATCTCTCCAGGACCTCGTTAACGAACAACTTCTGCAGGATGCTCTCGGTCAGGGGCTTCGTTTTGAAGTAGTGGTCAAGGCAGTCAATCATCTCGGTCTGGATGACGGACAAATCCTCGCTCAGTGTCCATTCGCTGACAATCATCGTCTGCAATACCTCCACAGCCATACGTCGCAAGCCTTCATGGACACTAAGACAAAGCTCGACAATAGGACCGACAAGAGTGGGGACGTATTGAACCTGATAACCGCCCATTTTGGACAAGCCATATCGTGCACGCTCGTCACTACTCGTCTCCCAACCGATAGCCTCCCAAGTTCGCCTGAGTAGTTCAGCGCCGTGTTCTCTCACGTCGCCAGCGATCTTCCAGACAGCTCTCCGCTTCTGCTCAGGGAAGGTCTCCAGAGCCAGAGATGGGCTGCCAACAAGCTTGAGCATTGTCGTGAAGAACATCTTCCAAAGTTCCGTGTTAAAGTTCTCGGCATCGTCGGGGTGGGGGAGGAAGGACTCAAGCAGTATGCTGGACAAGTACTGCAAGGTTCGCATCGTGGATTTGTGGTGAAAGATGTAGACGCTCAACCATTCGTGCGGGAACGCCTCGCCCATCAAGATGCTCATATGTACTCGAAGGGTATTTTCGAGGAGGGCAGTCAAGTCACCTTCAGTGAGCTCCAGCTGCATGCCGCTAGGGGAATTCGAAACTGCCGACAAAATTGCAGAAAGCTCAACCAAGGCTTCGTCAAAGGTAGACTCCTCCGCGATAGGCTTGGATGGAAAGGGGTATGAAGTTGGAAAGAGAAGTGAAAGGCGGCTGCGAGGCTTGCTCGGAATGGCCACGATAGACAGGTATGAATCAATGATCTTTGGCAGATAGTCGGGAATCTCGGCGCCAAGGTTGTCGATCTGACCGGCGAGGATTGAGCAGCAGAGACGGACTTGTTCCTTCCAGGAATCAGTGACGACCTCATTATGACCCCAGTGCGGTGCGATCCACCGGACGGTATTGGCCGTGAGAGCTGACTTTTGTTCCGGGTGTGAAAAGATCTCTAGCTTTGAGTAGTTGATGATGAGCACCAGCTTGTACAGAACCAGCTTGCCCTTAACAAGCGAACATGAGTCGAGGAAATCGATAGCAATATGCAAAATCTCCTCGGTTGTCAGGAGTCCTTTCAGCTCTGGCAACCAGGTGTGAAAGTGTTGAACAGCCAACGTCTGACTACCGACAAGGACAGGAGCGTTGCTGCGCATCATGGAATCAAGAGCCTTGAAGATATTTCTTAATTCTCTTGTAAAGCCAGGGGCGGAGTGCGAAGTCGTGATACCTATTCCGGCTTCCTTGGCCTTTTGCTGGCCTCGAGCATGGGTGATGAACTTGAGGATATGTCGGACGACCTTGAAGGTGGAGCGGAGCTTCCTCGAAGTTTGAGCCTCGGTGGGCTTCTCCAGCAGGCGAGTGAACGATCTCACGAGACAGGCCGTGGCAAACGGGTAGTTGAAGCGGTTCTCTGCATAGTGGTCAACGAGAGGGCCGAGGTTGAAACGTCTGTCGTGCACAATGCCCAGGACTCTAACCAGTGCAGTAAATACAAGGTCTTCGTATTCGTCGTTGCCCGAGTGCTCCACCAGGACTCCGAAGAGGGCATCAAGCACGTCGCTAAGGAGCTTGACAACCTCAATTTCGGGAACGAAAATCAGATGCTTCAGTAGCATCGGAATGTCCTCCTTGGGGCCCTCTTTCCACTTGAGCAAGCCTAGAACGATGCGATCCTGGGAGAATCGTGTACTGCATAGGTATGTGTCGACACGAAGGGTCGCAAGAGGACCGGTCACCTCGGAAGAGTGTTCGTCGTTTCCTCTGGCACTCCACTGCAACGACAGATAGCCCCCCTTGCCAGTCGGGCCAGCTTGGGCCGTTGAGGTAAACTCATCCGTCTTGTATAACAGCAGGGCATGTGCTCCGTCTCGGACAAAAGCCTCTTGGTTCCACAGTGGCATGTGGGCAACCGCGAACGGACCATTCGGCATGTCGGATAGGAACATGACGATGTGCGAAGTGAAGACATCTTCCGGTGGAACGGCGAGTCGGACAGTTTGGCTCCAGTGCTCCCCCCTCTCGATAGCCACAGATTTCCACGTGGTAATTCCCTCCGTGTTGGACGAAGAATAGATGCAGTTCGGGATCTTCTCCCCGCCTGTTCTTCGTACCTCCAGTGTAACCTGTAGATTATTTCCGTGTATACTCCCGGAGAGGGTGGTGGGGTTGCCTGCATATCGTGACAACAGATTTTGCTTAGAGAGCGCAGCAGTATCGAGAGTAAGGTAAATATCCGATCTAGCCTTTGTAGGCGCGCCAGAGAAACCCATCTTGTTTGTTTTGCGAATGCCAGCCAACATGGTTGGCGTCAGTTTGACTAGCGCATCCACATCCGGGTGATTGAAGGATTTGAGGTGCACCTGTACTCGTTCGGTTCGGCGCGACTTTTCGTAATGTCCACTCTTGCTATCCATGAGGTCTCGAATAAGGGTATCCCATTCCTCGTGGAGACCCTGCTTCTCTGTTGGGAGTGTTGGTGATGGCGACCAAATGCTCACGACCTGCTCCACATCTTCATCCTGCTTCATGACTGCATTGAGTTTGAGAACACCAATTCCCACCGTCCGTTCCGCCATGTGGAAGCCTGAGCCGCCATCGAACGAGCCGCGCGGTCTAGAGCCGGCAGTGCTGGGAGGTGCGGCGCTGTCTTGGCTCTCGTCCTGGGTCGGCGGGCGACCCTCGGGCTGCTCTGTTAGGGAATCAAGCTTCGGTGTGGCATTTCCTCTCGAAAAGGCTGAGCGGCCACTCTTGGACCCCCACATTAGACTTCTCCTAGAAGGCTTATTGCCACTCGCAGAGGGTGGTTTTGTGGGATCTTTGGAATATCCTCCACCCTGTGACTTGGCGCCAGAACGAGAATCCGGCTTCCCGCTGGGAATAACTTGTTGACTCGAGCGCACCTTGACGACTAGGTATAGCTCGGTTTCTGCTGATGCAACGTCGCCAATGTCTTGTGCTGAAAGATCGGCGAATATGGTTCGAGTTTGGCCCGATTTCGCCAGACTTCCTATCGTTCCGCCGGGTGGTATATCGATGATGAAGCATTCAGTGAGGGTGGCGGCCTGTCCTCCCACTGGCTTTGCTACAAGATAGACTACCAGGGATGTCTCCTCTGCCGATGCACCGGCGAATCCCTTCACGTCAACGAGCAGGTGGTGCAGAGCCGTTGGCTCTACAGTGGGCACTGGTGGCTCATCCAGAACGCTCATGACGGACTGTAACTTGGTGATATCTACTACCGAGTCATCGCCCGTCAATACCCGTCCACGGTCTGCGGGGTCTCGGACGATAACCTCCCCTCCACACAGCTTATTGACACGCACTAGGTCCCATACTGTTTTTTCGCGCAACTTGTCATATTCGTGTCGTGTGAGGACGTTGTGGAGGAACTGTTGTCGGCTGAGGTTGAGTGTCTGGATCAATTGTGATAGCTTCTCCAGACGAGGGTACTGGCGGGATAAAAGTAGACCGTGGAGGTTGGTCGAATGCCACTCGCGAAGACAGCTGGCGATTTCGTCAATGAGCGGTTCGGCCGCCGATGTTGGGGTTTCATCGCCAATCTTGAGCATCGGCACGGGTGCGGCCGGCCGTGGTGCGTCAGGATCTCGCTTTACGGGGATGGAAAGTCGACCCTGAGTACCATTGGGGAGTTCGCCGAGCGGTTTGCGACCCTTGATCTCGATTCTGGAGCCCTTGGATCCTCGTGAGCTTCCTAGTGATTTGTGACCGTCTTTCAATTTGGGTTTCTCGGTAGCAGTCGGCGTCAATCCGCTCTTGCCCGAGTCGCTACCGAGTTGAATATCACCAGCGGCAGCAGCATCGTCGCTCGTGGCATCGTCCAGCTCCTCCGTGTCGTCAGATTCGCCCAAAACCTCGCGGACCTCGACGCAACTTCGGGGAAAGATGCCACTGAAAACGCGGGCTTCAAGTGTTTGGCCCTTGACGGATGTCAGTCCGGCCAGCAGACTGGGTGGGGCTACCAAGTAGCCACGCAACCAGCTACCATCTGGGGTTTCTTCAATGATGTATAGCTCATCGCCGAGTTCGAGGGGGAGATCGGCCGGGCCCGAGGCGGCGAAAGGATATGTCGCAACGGCGAAGGCAATGCGAGGAAGAGGCTGCCAGGGCATTGAAGGCTCGGTTCGTCGACGACGCGCGCAAAGATGTGGTCGGTATGTGGAAAGGGAGAGGACGATAGATACGTAAACCGATGAACCTGTGTCAGATGTACCTTAGCAAAGGATTCAAGATCGCACGGCCAAGGGCACGGGGGGACGGTGATCGATCGCGAACCTGTGGGACCCTGGCAGGGCTGCTCGTGGTGTTGAGGTGGCCTCGTGGAGACGATCGGCTATCGCTTCATCAGGAACAATTGACACGGGCCGGGTTCGCGTGTTTCTAGTTGAGCAATCCGAAGAAGGTGGTTGCGTGGGGGCAAGCAACGTGGCAGAGGTGAGATAGAGGGCGCAGATCGATCGTTGGGCTCGGGGTCTGGCGTTGGTTGAACTGGGACGAGACGAGCGACGATGTGTTGCTCGCAGTACCGGCGACGACAGTATGTGGCTGCGATCTCGACTTCGGAGTTCGTGTGAAGGCGAATGGGGCAAATGGGTATCCGTATTTTTTTCTCGCAGGGAAATGGGCCGGCCTAGGGGAGAAGAAGAGGGTCGGTCGAGGAGGAGGGGGGTCGGTGGGTAGGTGGTTAGGTGGTTGGACTGGGGATAGGGACGGGGTATCAACAATGAATATGATTGCAGGCAAAAGGCGAAAAGAAAGCGACAGAGTCGTCCAAGGGTCGTATCGTGGTTCGGGGGACCCAGGCCGTGTTCCTGGTTATTCCCTCTGTGATGGTCATGTATCAGATCAGGACGTTAGGACGGCGGATGGCGGGTTCAACGGCTGACTATTGCTGCTTTGGGGAGACAGACAGATGAATTAATCAAGGGAGGAATTGACAGACAGAGGGAAGGGGGAGGGAGGTGAAAAAAAAAAGTCATGAGAGACACCAAACGGTCCTTCACTACACTATGCTGGGCTACGTTTAGATGTGAAGAATTTCTGGCATGGAGTGACTACGAGCAATGAGCATCGAGCATTGGGACGCGCAGCAATGGTGCATTGAGCAGTAAGGTACATACAATATCAGTAAGCCCAGACCAACAGAAAGCAAGAGCCCCTGAAGCACACAGCAGGGGCAGCCAGGAAAGGGAAGGCACGACTCCCATCTGTTGTGTGTACCTCCGTACCGATGTGCCTGAGCCTCGCTGTGAGTGGCTGGTGGAGAGGATTGGGGAGAATTGACTTGGGCTGGGCTGAGGCTGGCCTGCGATCTAATTGGGCAAATAGAGTTGAAGAGCACGAGGTGTGGTGGGTCTGTCAGGGTGCGCACGGATTATTCATCAATCAGAGGGGACCTGGAACGGAGGGCAGGAACGGCCGTGGAATTAGGAAGGAATGCAATGAAATAATCCGAGGCTGCACATATGCACCCGTAAACTCCAAGATACCTACCTGATCAGATAGAATCAAGCACATACATCATGACATTGGTCCGAGTCAACAACGGATAGAAATACATATCAATCTAGAATTAAGACAAGCACGGAAATTTCGATAGGGTACCTGACTTGGGATGTCCTCATTGTCGCGACCCAAGCTAGAGGTACAAAACATGTTTCATTTCATTCAATGACATGAGGTCCCCATGCGACCCCGTCGGAGCCAACCCGCTGCTGCCCGCTGTCCGCAAGAGCAAGTCCCGTCGCGTGTTTGCCTTCGATAGAGCCAAGACCAAAAATCATTAGACAAAGACCAGACCGGAAGAAGAGGATTGCGATCGCTGCGACTGGGGTTCCCATCGAGTCAAGCGGAGGCTCAGCGACTCGATTGAATCTCTTTTTGGATGCAATTGTCATTTAACTTCTATGCAAAGCATTCCATCACAGAGCAGGGTATGTCCCATCCCGTCTCAAACCGGTTCGAGCAGAAAGCGACACCCGAACGCCTGAGAAACTTCCATCGACAGTTAACTCAATCCGCTCAACCTTTTTGCCACATTGCCGCAAGCCTCCATGTCTTGGACCCTGGACCCTATCTAAACCTCAGCTGCGTCGAAAAGAAAACAACAACATGAGCACAGACAAATACCGAGAGACATACCCATGATGGTGGACAGAGACAATTTGCAAAGCCTCATTACCTTATGCCACTCTTCCTAAGGTATCTTACCTGACTATCGAGTAGTCATGATTAAAGTAGCAGTGGTAAGCAAGCAAGTCTATGTAGGCACCGTAACATGTGACTGCTGCAGCCCACAACGCCCGTCCGTTGTCCTGGGCAGCAGCTACTGCTTCATCTCATCACGCTTAGCCGCTAATCAACGCCGAGAAAACAAGGCCGTTGCCTCTCTTTCTCTTCTTCTTTTCCATTTCTTTCACACTTGCAGTAGCTGGCGGGTTTTCCAGGCACCGGCCGAGCGTTTGTTGTGGACTTGTGGCCGCCCGTCGATTCGGTCGTGGCTTGCAATGCAATGCCTTTCATTGTCTCTTGCCCCGTTTGGGAAGATGCCAGTACACGACCCGAGGTTAGTGGCGCAGAAAGGTACAAAGGTCACGGAAGTATCTCTCTGCTTTCTCAAAACTATCAAACAGGTGGATCCGCTCAATTATCAAAAAAGCTTGTGGTTGGTCGCGTCTGTGCCATTTGCTGATCCGGGCGTCGACTGGTGGCAGCACTAAACCTGAAAAAGTCTGGGCCTCAGCTTCTTCTGACGATACGTACCGCATCTGAAGTCCCCGGGGCCCCTCCTTCCCGCGACCGACTTCTCCCACAGCAGCTCTTTCATCTTGGGAATTCTGGCTTCGACCTTGTCGGCCCTCCTGCCTCCGGCCACAGGTTGGTTCCTGCATTTCATGCCGTCTGCGAACTGCAGGTGCCCTGGCCACACCCGCGCCTCACTTTGTCATCAGATGAACACCACGCATCTCTCAAGGTTCCTTATGTAATTAATCAAGTGCCTCATGCATCGCGAATGGGATTTCCCTCTTCATTCGACAAACTTCAACTTCAGCCTCTTTGTCTTCATCAAACTGGGCTGCCATCACCCCGTCGTTCTCATGCCCCCACGCCTTGGCCCCCAAGTGTCATTTCGCACGCGCCAGCGCAAAGTGTTTGCGTCTCCATTGACCACTCATCTTGAGACACCGACATCTTCGAGAGTTCCATCCACAAATCCTACCCAACGACTGACCATCGTGTCACGCTCGGGCCTCTTGAATACACAAAGCACACAAGTTGCGATTGATTGCACTCCAGAGGCGCACGGAGTACAATCTGTTTGTGCCGTGTCGAGACTCAATCATCTCTTTTGCTATGAGGAAAGAGTATATTCCCAGTCTTGTTCTTCAGCATTACTGATGCCCGAAATATAGGTGCCGTCTTTCTCTCTCTCCGGACACTTTGCTGCTCGATGGTGCCGCATCGTCTTCGAATTTGTGTCAACTCCTTATTCGACGGATATGCTTACCAAGTCCACACGTTCCGTAGTAATCGATACTAGACTTCATATCAACGTCCTGACAAGATCCAGATGCGTTCAAAGTGCAGGTATCCCGGTGACATACGATACTGTCACGCTATTGATGAGACGGACAATAGCCACGGCGTCTGCCGCCGATAGCCCCGGATGTGGCTGAAAAGCTGGAGCGTTCAGACCTCCCGCCCGGAGCGCCGAAATGAGACATATGCCGGACCCACTCTACCATCACCGATCGGGACCAAGACCAGACACTCTACTCCGTTCTCGACGATGCTATCCATCATCTGTGGCGGCTCTCGGACACTGCTCTCCCAACTAAGACATGCAGGCATTGTCCACAGGGAGGCTAAACCAATAAACTTCATCGTTATCAGGATGGGCCGTTTTCTATCAGCATAAGATCATGGGACGGCATTTCCGATCACCTGGCGAACCCAAGCGCGGTCGACATCAGTTGATGCCTCTGGAGTCGAGCCGAGAGCGGCTCGAGCCGAACACGTGGCGCTGACTATACCGGGAACTTGAGTCTTGACATGATGGTTCCGAGGCAATCTTCCTCAGCGGATCGACACGGGGGTGCTGCACTATCGAACGCTCCATCGGTTCGAACTCGCCCAGGAACGGCATGGCAAAGCTGCCTCCAAGCATCGGTTTTCAAATGTCTCAAGAGGTTTCCTTGCAGTGCTGTCGCAAGCCATATAGTGTCTTGATCGCGCATTTAGTCATCCACTGCCAACTGGTATGCTCAACTCTTCTCATCCACTTTCTTGCAGCTGATGGGCTTGTCCCCTTGCGCATTGTGAAGTCATTGACTACGACATTGAGTTGAAAGGGCAAAGGGTTGGCGAGCAAAATACTTGTTTAAACTGAGTACCACTCTGACTCCAAAATGATCAAACTAGAGACCGTTCTAAGTTCTCGCCGGTGCAACAACTTCGGAGCTGTCTCGCAGCCTGGGTCGATCATCCTGGGCTGAGATGTGTATTTCTAAACGGCTTGCCAAGGGCAGAGATCCGGTTGTGCATATCAAGCCAGACATTATCCGGACAGTCTGCACCGCCGCGGTGCCGCTGCGGTGCTGACCAATTCAAGGTCTATATCGACAAGCCCGGAACAACCTGAGTTGGCACCGATCATCTTTTCCAGAGTCCATGCGATGGTCTTGAGATGGTCTTGTCAACGTACATACCAACTACAACGTCAGACTGCAGCTACAAGGATTACTTCCGGTGAGCAGTTGTTAATGAGAGACTTCCAGACTGCGTTTCCTTTACCTCTGAACGTGCTGAGATCTACACGGGCTCCGTCACGACCTTCACATTTACCCTCGGGAGGTTTTGACGGTGCTGACGATTATGTCTGGTTCGGCCAGCCTAAGGCCGCTGCCACTGCCGCTGGGACAAAAAGCTTTTTCACTCTAGGCTGCAGTGCCCATACTCGCCAGTGGAGTGTTGTCTTCTTGAGCACCAAACATGCACTATGGAGTCGTGGAGCTCGCAACGGTCTGAAAGTCTGGTATGTCGACCGACGAGTCGACGATGGAGATTCCCCTGGCCAACTATGATAGGCCATCGTGCGAGGAGTAGGGTCTTCTCCCGTGGTACAAGGAGTCCGCATCGATTACGTCGCATGCGCCTCTTTCGATACCCACGGCATGTGAGGGACTGCTAGATCAGCAAAGTGAAAACATCAAGATTCCTTTGGAGCAAAGTCCTCGGTACAGGGATAAGAAGAGGCAGCCTAGATATGGATAATCGCCTGCAAGCCGTTTGTCCTTACGAGATTCGCCAACTTCTTAAGAGCGATGATGAAGTACCAATTGGCTATCATGCCATGGGTTATGAGAACTTCGTACTTACACCTGTCACTGCATGCTCGACCTGCCTCGCTGTTGTTACTTAGCGGCACAAATCAAACACCAGGATTTCAATCGTTTCGATTGTTCCCGCTAGCAGTATTGTTCACTGGTATGACGCGGCGCTGGATCAACTGCAGCATGTGCAGTCCCTCCTTGTTGCTTCAGCGCAAGTTCACCAGTGGAGCGCCAGAGAAGTCGTCCCGGATGTCGACCTGCCGCTCTCCTCAGATGATACATGTCCTGAGTCCTCGGCCGGGCGGAGTCGGCATGGAAATATTTTGATGCAACTCGGCGCCGAGGGACGGAGGTTTTAGTTGCCGACGCCGGGCCAACGTGTGTTGAGGGTTGAATAATCCGGAGCGGGCGGAACGGAGCGGGCGAGCTTCCCAATCTCCTAGAATTCCTGAAAAGGAATAGCTAGATGGGAAGTGCCCGCAAGAGCCGGCCGGGATTGGGTATTTCACCGACGGTCCAACAGCTCAACCGTCAAACGCAAAGCTGAGACGCTGGTCCTTCCGTAGCCGCCCAGTGGATGTTGCGAACTATGGCCTTCGGTAGCATCCGGAGGCGATCTGCAGGGCTGAACGAGTATCCGTACGGGATAGAAGAAATACGCGGGATGGCCGGGTTCATCGCATAAACGCGGAAATGACAAGGCATCGTTGACGTGCCTAACCCGGACTGGGTGAGGTCGCCGAACGACCTTGGCTGATGTTTGCACTGAGGCTTAGGGTAAGTCGAATAACGTTTCGCTCTGTGAGGCTAAACACTATTATTGGCGTCGACTGCTCAGATGTCATTGAAAACCCCCGGCTGGAGATATCTGCCTTAGTTCAAAGAAGCTTTGCTAGGCGACAAAGCCAGCGAGGCACTACGACCTTATCAACCATGACAAAGTTTTTTTTTCCCTTTCCCTTGTCAGTCTCGTCAGGAAATCGCCGAGAGAAGGATGGCCCGACGACGGGGTCGGCGAGGGCAGATTTTGATGATGTACGCCAAGACATTTTGTCGAGCTCGCGTTGAAGGGCGGGTGCGCCGGCCCCTCCCATCATCAATGAAGCCACCCGCCTGCAGAAGCATGCCACCGACCATTGAAATTAAAGTCGGTTTGTCGAGAATTTCCATCTTTGATCTAGGGCACACTGAGTATGGCGGCGGCATCTCTTGGACGCCGACACCCCGTTGTGAGTGTGGGAAGCGTGGGGGAAAGACGACTGAGATTCGGCCAACAGTTTTCAGTCTTACCCATCCACCGCCTTTGTGTACAGCTGAGTTCGTACATCTGTGATCTGCCTGCCACCCAGCTAAGCTCGACCGACGGTGGTGGATGGCAACGTATTCCTTATCTAAGGTGCGGAGACGGACGAAAAGACATACGCAACCTGCAAATTCAGTCATAGTGGAGGTCGCGTGTTTGTCAAACGAGACCGGTAATGAGTGCCTCCCAAGAATAGGAAAACCCAACAAGGCCCTGAAGGGGGAGGGGGGTTCATCAGCCATGGGAGCGGAGCGGAATTCCAGCGGCGGCAAGTAGGAAAGAGCCAATTTCCATGACAAGGGATCTCTAGTCGACAAATTTTGCGACTTTTGCGCTGGGTTTTTGTCTTTCTTTTCCCGCCCTTACCTGTAGACGAGTGAGCAAGATGCTTGCAGGCGGTGGGGCTGTGAACGAACCCGGTCTCCAGAACTCCATGAGGACAAGACGGTTCTGTCGGATGTCGCGGATGCAGGCTGCTCCACTATGTTGCCCGGTACCCTGTCTGATTGGTCGGCTGTCAGCTTACGGTGTCGTGTGCCTCGTCGCATGCCTCCGTCATCTTCGATCCCTCCCCGACGCCCACCTTCCCTCTAGCGGACGCGCGCCTGATTGATAACAGAGCCGCGTTTCCTAAGCGGACGTCGGAGCACTTGTTCCCCCTGACGGAAGTTGAGGGCGAAGCAACGGCACGAAGCCGCAGCGAACCCAGAGACAGAAGCTGGAGTGCACGGAGGAGGAAACAAGGGAGAAGGGAACGGACCTAGGCTTCGAAGCATGAAGGAACAATTGAAGCGCAGGAAGAAAGAGACTTTGTTTCGCGGTTGGACGTTGCTTGACAGAACAAACTACCTACGTCAGGTAGCCAAGCTCAGAGCATGCAGAGCTAAGAGCAATCAACCGCACGGCAACGGCGAGCTGCCAACAACTTGGAGGGCAGCACGCGACATTTCGTCTGCTGTCTTCTCTCACTCTGCTCCCTCCTCAGATCCTCGCTCTTGTCTCATCCCAAGCTGTTGGCCACCAACACACCCACTCTGGAGGTCTGAATGACGGTTCTTTGGGTGCGGATTCCCGGGTGTGCCCACCCACCAACCAAGCAGAAGCTCTCACCTCACACAGGGCGAAAGACGACAGACGCACACAAGAGGAAGATGTAACCCTTGGCGCTCGCGGCACTTGGCGGGCGATTCGTCCACGTCAGGGATCCCAGCCCGCCCGCCCCAACAGCCCACAACCCGCTATTGGCTACAGATCGGAATTCCGTGTCGTGGACAGGGTCACGGGCAGCAGAGCCTTTTCCCACCATCCACTTTCCACTTGGGGCCTTTGCGAGAGGGGACCAGGGTAGGCTCGATTTCGACATGCGGTGCGCGGCTTGAGCTTGAGTTCCTCACTTTCCTCCTCCCCAGCACCTCGGAGCCATGCGGAGCCCGCTGATGTGGACTGTGGCGGGTGGTGGGAGTGCGAACTTTGCGAGGTGGACGAGCCACCGAGCGAGCCTGCGAGGAGGATGCGCATGTGCTGGATTCGTTACCTTACCTTTACGCAAATGCAAAGGCCACCAACCCGGTAACTTTGTATACGGTCGGTCAAGGTCCAGCTTGGTGGGTTGTGCCGAGCCTGGGCTTTCTGCTGAAAGTGTGCCGAAAGTCCATGTTCTATTACGGTATTATTAACAGATCCATCTGATCCATGCTGCGTTATGAACGTCGCTACCTCGAGCTCCCCCGTTTGTTGTTGATTACCTCTTGACCTTCCCGCTCGACAAGTTACCTTCTTCTTAATCTTGACTACCTACTACTTCTCTGATCAGTATCCTTACACTACTCTCACCTTGATCTCCATCAAGAAATCCCCGGTAGCTCAGGAGACATTCAAACTCGCCCCCTTTGACACGGACAGTCTTAGACTCACATCCCCGACCTTCAGGTCGCTCTCTCATTGGACCTTGGCCCAGCACACACCGGTGGACTGAGTCTGCCAGATCCATCCCACCCGCACGCATCCAGCCTTCCGGACCTGTGGCCCCTTCCGAACCTCCCGCGCCCTCAAATACCACGCGGCAGCAGTCACACTGGAGTAGCCAAGTTCTCCAGTCTCCTCATACCTCTCTCACTATCTCCATCGTCGGCTGTTTATTCC